CTGCAGGTCTCTGGGCTGGCTGTGCCCTAGAGATGCTCATTGCCCACCCCACCCCATCCCCACGGGGCTGAGACAGGCTGAGCACAGAGCACACAGCCCCACACTGCAGGGCACATCTCTGAGGTGTCCTCAGGCATCCATGGGGTGGTGACATCCATGTCCTTCCTGCAGGGACAACGTCTACCGTGTGAGCCTGGAGCCCACTGCTGGCAGTGAGATGCGCTATCACCGGGTAAGGGCAGACCCCCAAGCTTTTGTGGGGCACTTGGGAGGGGGTCTCTCCTGGTCCCACATTGGATTTTCTGCCCCCACAGAAGCTGACTTGGAGGTCGAACCAACACGACATCAGCATCTGCCGGATGAAGGGGAAACACGAGGTATGGGGGGGGTCCATACCCTGTGAGCCCCCCTCACCCTCCTGCATCCCACGTCACGTGTCACCGTCCCCCAGTGTCACCCTGTGCCTCTCGGCTCCCTGCCAACGCTTGTGTCAACTGTGATTTATTGGACGCTGGTATAATTGGGTTTGTAATTAATTATTTCTGGCCCGTTGATCAGAACAGACACATCTCATAATCTGCGAGAAATCCAATTTCCAGGTCCCGTCCGTGCCCCCTGGGGCTGCCCCCCCCCCTCCACCCCCCAGCCCAGCCTCTTGTGGTGAGGGGGGCAGAGGGGACCACCCCCCCTCTCCCTGGGGCTGTTTTTGGGGCTGGTGCTGGGGAGTGGATGCAGGGGCTGACAGCCCCCTCTTACTGGCACAGGCAGAGTGCCGAAACTTCATCAAGGTGATGCTGGTGCGGAACCAGAACCTGCTCTTCGTGTGTGGCACCAACGCCTTCAACCCCATCTGTGCCAACTACAGTGTGAGTCCCCTGCTGCTGGAATGGGGCTGGCGGGTGTCAATAGGGACAGGAGCCCTGCAGAGGACAGCATTGCCCTTTGGGGGTTTCCTGCTCTCCAGAAGGGTGATGCCACCACGCAGACCCTGCTGTCTGGCATGGCACTCCCTGACCATGCTGACAACCCTGTGCCCTTTGCAGATGGACACTTTGGAGCCCGTTGGGGACAATATCAGCGGCATGGCACGGTGTCCCTACGACCCCAAGCACGCCAACGTGGCACTGTTCACAGGTCAGTGCTGGCACAGTGGGGACCACCGGTTGGTCACTGCTCCTCCAGGTTCTCTCTGCGTGCTGCCTCCATCCACATCCCCATGCTTGTGTCTCCCTTGCAGGAGGGATGCTCTTCACAGCCACGGTGACAGATTTCCTGGCCATCGACGCCGTCATTTATCGCAGCCTGGGGGACAGCCCGACCCTGCGCACGGTTAAACACGACTCCAAGTGGTTCAAAGGTGCTTCCAGCGTGGCGCCGCTCCCTGTCCCCTTCTGCTCTGTCCTGGGGCAGCCCTGACCCCGCTGTTGTCCCTTCAGAGCCCTACTTTGTGCACGCGGTGGAGTGGAGGAGCCACGTCTACTTCTTCTTCCGGGAGATCGCCATGGAATTCAATTACCTGGAGAAGGTTGGAGAGGTCCCTGCGGTGACCCTAGGGGGACACCTGGGTCCCTGCTGGGTGGTGACAGGCATCCCTTGCAGGTGGTGGTATCCCGTGTGGCTCGGGTGTGCAAAAACGACATGGGGGGGTCACAGAGGGTGCTGGAGAAGCAGTGGACATCCTTCCTCAAGGCTCGGCTCAACTGCTCGGTGCCGGGTGATTCCCACTTCTATTTCAACGTCATCCATGCTGTGACGGATATCCTGGAGCTCAACGGGCGCCCCGTGGTGCTCGCCGTCTTCTCTACGCCCACCAACAGGTTGACCCTACAGAACGGGGCTGAGGAGTGCCCCATAAGGTTGGGGAATGTGGGATTGGGTTGAGGTCTTCATCTCGCACTGCATCTCCCCAGCATCCCCGGCTCGGCTGTGTGTGCCTTTGACATGACCCAAGTGGCTGCTGTCTTCGAGGGGCGTTTCCGGGAGCAGAAATCACCAGAATCCATCTGGACAGCTGTACCTGAGGACATGGTGCCAAAGCCCCGGTGAGAGAATGACCTATAGGGATCATCCTAGCATCCCAGCAGGGATGGTGGCAGGGGACAGCAAGGGTGGGTGGTGGCAGAACGGAGGTTGGGGATGGAGATGGGGAAGGGGTAGGGATGGAAGTGACCAAGGCTGGTGGTAGGGATCAGAATTCCAGAATTGGAGGAGTTGGGAGGGACGTTTGGATGTCCTCCAATGGGAATGAGGATGTCTGGAAGTGGCATGGGAATAGAGATTGGAATGGTGACACCAGAGCCAATATCAGCAGAGCTGGAGAGAGGACTGGGACAGAAATGGGACGGGGTTCAGCCACGCCGTGGCAGTGCTGAGCTTTGCCATGCTGTGGTGTCAGACCCGGGTGCTGTGCTGCCCCGGGGATGCGCTACAACTCCTCCAGCACCTTCCCCGATGAGATCCTCACCTTTGTGAAGACGCATCCTCTGATGGATGAAGCGGTGCCGTCCCTGGGCAACGCACCCTGGATTGTCCGCACAATGAGTCGGTGAGTGTGGGGGTAGGATGGAGCCTGGAGAGGCTGCGGAGGGCTTCCCAGCACAAAGCAGTGCAGGAGATTGGCTGCTTTTGGGATGCACGTGTGTATGTGCACGCACAACCCGCTCACAGCTGTGCCCATCCGTGTGCGTGGCTTGCACTGCTGTGCCTCAGCACGTTGCTGCCTCCAGCCCTGCCCCTGCATGGGTGAGCGCCGTGAGACCTGATAAATGTCATAAACTTTGCAGCTGAGATTGTCTCATCCTAATTAAATCTGTCTTAATTGCTGTTTAATGGGGAATTAATCAAGCTGCGCTCTCGGGCCACAGCCTCCAGCCAGCAGGACAGCATGCAGGGCTGCAGATGGGGCTGTGGGGATGGGGACAGGGACATAGGGATGGGGACAGGCATATGGAGATCAGCTGGGGGTTCTGCCAAGGGGTCAGGGCTGGATCCCAAGGTGGGTCAGGGCTGGGGGCTACTAGCTGCGACCAGAAGGGAATCCAGGCAGGATCTTAAATGGGTTCTGGAATGGGTTTGGCTGCATCATGATTGGGATCCATGCCCAGTCTGCCTGGGATCTGGACTAGTTTCCATCTCTGCTTTTCCCCGCATTCTGTGCTGGTCCATGTCCTGGGGTTCAGCTCCCAGCCTGCCTCTGTTTCTCCTCCTGAGAACACTGCTGGCCCCAACACCCTGCTCTGCTCGTGCTATGCAGGTACCAGCTCCGCAAGATCGTGGTGGACAACGCAGCAGGACCATGGGGCAACCACACCGTGGTCTTCCTGGGCTCCAGCACAGGCACCATCCTGAAGTTCCTCATCCATCCCAATGCCACCAGCAGCCCCGCACCTGCACCCCCCGGCAGCCAGAGCGTCTTCCTGGAGGAGTTTGAAACCTACCAGCCTGGGAGGTGGGCTGGGGTGGGGAGAGAGGGGTGAGCGGGTAGTTGGGTGGGTGGGTGAGTAGGGGATGGGTGGGTGGGTGGGTGGGTGGGTGGATGGATGGATGGATGGATGGATGGATGGATGGGTGGGTGGATGGATGGATGGATGGATGGACGGACGGACGGACTGGTAGGTGGGCGGATGGATATGTGCTTGGATGGATTTAAGGGTAGGTAGATGAATGGATGGGTAGATGAATGGATGGGTGGGTGGGTGGATGGACGGACGGACAGATGGATGGATGAATGGATTGATGGACTGGTAGGTGGGTGGATGGATATGTGGTTGGATGGATGGGTGGGTGGGTAGATGAATGGATGGATGGATGGATGGATGGATGGATGGGTGGATGGGTGGATGGATGGATTGGTGGACTGGTAGGTGGGCGGATGGATATGTGGTTGGATGGATGGAAGGGTAGGTAGATGAATGGATGGGTGGGTGGGTGGGTGGATGGACGGACGGACGGATGGATGGGTGGATGGGTGGATGGATAGATAGATGGATGGATGGATGGACGGATGGATGGATTGGTGGACTGGTAGGTGGGCGGATGGATATGTGGTTGGATGGATGGAAGGGTAGGTAGATGAATGGATGGATGGATGGGTGGACGGATGGATGGATGGACAGACGGATGGATGGATGGATGGATGGATGGGTGGATGGATGGATGGGTGGATGGATAGATGATGGACTGGTAGGTGGGCGGATGGATATGTGGTTGGATGGATGGAAGGGTAGGTAGATGAATGGATGGGTGGGTGGGTAGATGGATGGATGGACAGATGGAAGGAAGGAACAAATCAGAAAGATGCAAGGATTAGATGAGTGGTGGGATCAATGGTTTGGATGTGTGAATGAGACAGGGGCAACGGGTGAGCCCCCTTCTCTGGACCAGCCTGCAGCAGGGCAGGTGGGGACAGGAGCTGGGGCCACACTGAGCTCTGCCCCATCCCCAGATGTGGCCGGGACACAGAGGATGAGCGGAGACTCCTGGGCCTGGAGCTGGACAAGGCAGCTGGGTCCTTGCTGCTGGCCTTCCCCCCCTGTGTGGCCAGGGTGCCCGTGGCTCGCTGCCAGCAGCACTCAGGCTGCATGAAGTGAGTTCCGAAAGGGCAGGGCATGCGGGAGGGATTGTGAAAGGAAAAAGGGTTTACCATGAATTTGCTCTACACTGGAGTTGAGCTATGAATGTTTTGGCATAGCCAGGAGCACCGATAGAGAAAACTGAGGCACGGTGCTGGGCCAGGGTCTCTTTTGAGGGCTGGGGGTTTCCTGACCTCTCTGCTCCCTGCCAGGAGCTGCCTTGGGAGCCGGGACCCGTACTGTGGCTGGACACCTGAGGGCTCCTGCGTCTTCCTGGAGCCCAGCCCCAGGTAATGTTGGCTGGGCTGGGTGGACTCCTTGGGGGCGACATTGGGGTCCTGGTGTCTCCCCCGGAGCTTTGAGCCCCATCAGCTCCTCCAATTCCTCTCACCACTGAGACCCAACAAACTCATCACCAGCTGCAGCAGGTTGGGAGGCTGTCGGAGGCCAGCTGACCCCTTCTTTTTTTGCACTCCCCCACAGGACAGCTTTCGAGCAGGACATCTCTGGTGGCAGCACATCACACCTGGGCGAGTGCGAGGGTGAGTGTGAGACAGGGATGGCACACGGGGACGTGTGGCACATCACAGCTGGCTCCTGAGCCCCCTTATCCTCACCCAGGGCTGGTGACAGAGAGCTTCGTGGACGAGCCGGATGGGCTGGTATCAGTGAACCTGCTGGTTATCTCCTCGGTGGCCGCCTTCGTCATCGGCGCCGTTATCTCCGGCTTCAGCGTGTGTTGGTTCATCGGTCACCGGGATCGCAAGGAGCTGGCGAGGCGCAAGGATAAGGAAACCATCCTGGCACACAGCGAGTCAGTGGTGAGCGTCAGCCGGTTGGGAGAGCGGCGAGCACGTGGCGGGCAGCCCGGCGCGCTGCTGGCCCCGCTGATGCCCAATGGCTGGCCTAAGGAGCTTGGCAAGGCGAGCCAACACGACCTGGACTCAGGCGTCCTGCCTACACCGGAGCAAACCCCGCTGCAGCAGAAGCGTTGCCCCGGTGCTCTCCAGAATTGCACCTGGGAGCAGAGTCACAACATCATCAACGCCGCGCTGCGGGACCCTGGTGCCAGCGGCACGCGGCTGCACGCCGGCGCCGGCCGCTCTGCCCGCGGCATGCCCCTCTCCTGCCACGCCATCCTGGTGGATCAGGAGCTGGAGGCTGAACTCAGCGACTCCTCGGGTGATGGGCACTGGGGACGGGATCACCACGAGGGTCCCCGCACCCGACAGCATCCCTCCTCCGGTGCCCGCCGTCCTCCCCGGAGCTCCTATGGCGACTTTGGGGGCACCCCACGCCCCAGCCCTGACCGTCGGCGCGTGGTTTCGGCGCCTGGTGGGGAAGGGGGGGACTTTGTGGAGGGGCCGCCGTGGCACCCTGAGCAGCTGAACTTCAACGCCAACAACGGCACCCAACGCCCCGGTGCCCACCTCAAGAGGAACCACACATTTAACAGCGGCGAAGCGCCGGCAGGTGGCTATGGGCAGCACGGCACGGCACCACGGGCAGCTGGTGCAGGGCCCCCCCGGGCACTCACGGACCTGCACCACCTCCTGCGCTATGGCATGGAGCGGACTCCCTCGGGCAAATAGAAGCTCACTGCCTGGCTCAGCACCCGCACACAGGCGCTGCCACCATGGACGTTTTCCTCCGCCGTGCCGTGGCACGGTGCCCCAGCTCTGTGGGGATGGGGCTGAGATGCTGCATGGGGGATTGGCAGCCCCTGGATTCCCATGGGAAGGGTTTGAGGTTTTTCTCTCCTGCCCCCGGAGCTGCACAGGTCCCTGCTGTCCCCGGCTGGCACGGGGCAGTGCCCCATGCTCCGGCTGCTTTGCACAGGCTCTGAGTTGTCTGTCTGTTCGGTCCCTTCCCCAGGCTGGACCCAGGGACTGCTGCGCCCTGGGCGGGACTCCCTGGGAGGCAGCAGGATGGACTCACAGATATGGGCACAGCTGGCACAGAGCAAAGCAGTGCCCTTTGCCCAGAGCCCCTCAGTCCCATCGGCTGTGCCTGGGCACCTTTAGGTGTGTGGATGCTGCCAGCACCCTGGAAACACCCAGCCAGGACAGCACCCAGCAGAGGATGCCGTCATCTGCCAAGGACTGGGCAAAACCTCCACTATCCTCACCTGGTGCCAGCGGAGAGCTGTCATCTGTCCCCTAACACCTCCGCTCCCACCGAGATCCCAGCATTCCACTCCCCTCTCCTTGAAAGCACAGCTGGGCACTGGGATGCAGGGGACTTGGGGGGGGGGGTCCCACCAAACCCACTCTCTACTGGCAAAGGGTGCCCTTTCGGTGCCACCCCTGCCCCAGTTGCAGGTGGCACGAGGGGCAGTAGGGCTCTGCAGGACCGCAGGGCTGGATGCAGGGATGCGGGCGCTGCAGGTGCTCTGCACCCTGACTGCAGGGTGGAGGGCAATTGGTCCCATGCTGTAAATAGGGTGCCGGGGCACCGCGGGCACCCCATCGCCCCGGGGCCGTTCATGCATGCGACAGCGGTAACGTCTCTGTATAACCCCGGAGCCCCGCAATAAACTTCTGTTTACAAGAGGTGATTCCTCCCCACCACTGCCTCTGATGCTGTGCCATTGTGGAGAGGCAAAGCGGTCCCTGCTTCAGCAGAACCTGTGGGGCACAAGTGGGGGGACAGCAGGTTGGAGGGGGCTGTGGGACAGGGGAGCATGTGGGGCTTTGTGCTGTGCCATCGTGCGAAGCCCCACTGCGTGCACAAATCTGTGCGCTCACACCTTCATTTGGGCACCCACTGCACCCCTGCAGCTTTGTGGAAAGGGAGAGCTCAATGCTGTGCCACCCTCGCAACCAGAGCCTCAGTGTGGGGCCGTGGGGATGAGGAGTGCCCAGCCCCTGCTGTGGGTGTTGGCACTTCCTTGAGCTGCAGTGATTGCGAAGGCGATGGTTTCCCAATCGAGTGGACGTGAGGCCAAACCAGCAGCGTGGTGACAGAGGAGGAAGGAACCGCCCCAGGGAGCTGAGTTGGCCGCTGGAGGAGGTGAGGAGGGGGCTGGGGGTCCCTGGGCCAGGATGAGGAGGGAGATCCCCCACCCAGGGGCACTCAGGGGTGGTGGTGGGAACGGTGTAGGGCACAACCCGTGGGGTGACATTAAGCTGCCTGCCCACAGCACCAGCACTATGGCACTGCTGGGTCACATCCTGCCACCACCACCTCCGCTGCTGCTGCTACTGCTGCTGCCATACAGCCATGCTGCACCGTGCCACCCACATCCCAACGCCACGCACTTCATCTGCACGGATCCCACTCTCAGCACCTTCCCCTCCGGACTTCCCCCCACCACCGTGGCCATTTCAGTGGAGTTCACTGCTATGACCACCATATCCCCCAATGCACTGGCCAGGCTGCCCCACCTACAGGAGCTACACCTCTCCTCCAACCGCCTGGCTGTGCTTCCAGAAGCCCTGCTGCAACCTGTACCCACTCTACGCATCCTCGACCTGACCGACAACCTCCTTCCCGATCTCCCTGCTGGCATTTTCCATCACTCCATCCATCTGCAGCACCTGGTGCTGCAAGGGAACCTCCTGCAAGCACTGCAGCCAGCCTGGTTCGTGCACCTGACCCAACTACATTGGCTCAACCTGGCAGGCAATGCTCTGCTCGAGGTGCCCCCCGCTGCCCTGCGCCCGCTGCGCTCCCTGCGCATCCTGGACCTGGCACACAATCGCCTGCATCACCTCCATGCTGATACATTCATGGGGTTGCAGATGCTCGAGCGGCTCGACCTGGAGGGCAACCAGCTCCGTGCGCTGCCACCAACCCTCTTCATGCCCACCCCAGCTCTACGTTTGCTCTTCCTGCAGAGCAACACCCTGCAGGTGCTGCCCGATGGCGTTTTCTCCCCGCTGCTCCATCTCCGTGTCCTCGACCTGGCACACAACCATCTGCAGGTTCTGCAGCTGCCCCCACGCTCCCCTGGCCCCCCGCTGTCCCTCGACATCTCAGGGAACCCCTGGGCCTGTGAGTGCTCATTGCTGGCACTGCTGCAGGATGCAGCCCTGCAGCTCATCGCTGCCCGTGACACACGCTGTGCCAGCCCTGCACAGCACAGGGGGCAAGAGGTGGCTGCTGTGAGCCTGGCTGCTTGTGACCACAGAGGGAACAAACAGAGTCCCCTGGATCACTAAGCAAGGGGTTCAGCACCACGTTCCCTCCCTCCAAGCCTTCCAGTTTAACTGAGGCAATGAGAACAGGGCTGTCCCCATCCCAGTGATTCCCATCCCCATCCCAGTGCCCGCCATCCCCATCCTACCCGCTCCATCCCAAAGGCTCCCAGCATCACCCCACCTGCTTCACACCATCCCACGTCCCATCTCTCCATCCCCATCCTTACAAGACCGCATTAAATGGATTCTCCTCGTTCTGCTGTGCTGCCATCTGTGTCCTGTGAAAGAAAGGCAGTGATGGCTGCCATGTCCTGCGACCAAGTCCATCCCATCCCCTCCACGTCCCATGCCCCTGCCTGCTGCCATCCAGTCCAGCCTGATCCCCTGGGGTGACAACACAACGTCCCCAAGTTCCCCACCATCTCCCCTGGGTGACACTGAGCCCTGGGGACAGGCAGAGGGGTCACGGGGCACTGTAACAGGGAGGTGTGACATAACGACACTGCATGGGGACACCTAGCGTGGGCGATCGTGGTACGGAGATGCTTTTCACGGGAAGGGGACGCTCGGTGCAGGGTCACTCGCTATGGGGACAATTGACCACGTGGACACACACAGCAAAGGGACACTCAATATGGGGACAAATGGGGAGTGCCGGGAGGGGGGGACACCGACACCGTACAGGGACAGCTGTTGTGGGACATCCTGCTCGGGGACACCTGGAAGGGGACACCTGGCACGGGGTTACTGGGTAGGGGGACAACGGCCGGGAGTCCCCTCGTGGCCGCATCCCCCCCCAAACCCTCCCAAAGTCCCGCCTCTCCCTTCCTATTGGCTGCGGAGCGCCCCACCCCTTCGCTGATTGGCTCCCGCCTCGCTATGAACGCGACGCTGGGCGGGGACGAGGAGGGGGTTACGATCGCGACCGGGAATCTCGCTCGTGACCGGAGGTCGCGATATCCCACCCCCCCCCCCTCCCCGCAGTGAGTACGGCGCTGGGTTTTGCAACAGCAGGAGAGCGGGAGGGAGGGAAATTACCGACGGGGGGGGGAATCTGGGGGTCCGAGGATGGGGGCGGCGGGGGCACAGCGATGTCCCATGGGACCCCTAGGAGCCCCCGGAGGGGACACTCCCCCCTCCAGCGCCCTCTAGAGGACGGAGGGAGTCCTGCACCCCCTCCCCCCCCTCCCCAAGGACCCCCTCCCGCAGGGATCCAGCCCCGCTTCCATCCCTCGAGACCCAACCCCACTGCGTCCTGCTGGGCTGGGATGTGAGCCTCAGAGCGGAACCCCATCCAGTCCCCCATCCACCCCCCTAAAATCCCCATCCCCAGCGGTTCAGTGACCTCCCGGTGCTTTCCACTCGTGCCGTGAGTTTGCAGTGCTCAGCACCACGTGTCTTTTCTCTCTCCATCGCAGCGATGTCAGCCAACAACGCGGCACCGGCACGAAAAGAGCTGCAGGTAGGGCTATGGGGAGGGTCCATGGGCTGGGGGCACTGCGGGGTCCCATCTCACTGTTCCCTGTTGCCATCCTACAGCAGAACGTGGTGGGGAGGGTGGCCAGCCTGCCCTTGGTGAGCTCTGCCTGCAGCATCGTGTCCAGTGCCTACAGCTCCACCAAGGAGAGCCATCCCTACGTCCGTTCCGTGTGTGATGCTGCTGAGAAGGGGGTGAGGACTCTGACAGCAGCAGCCTTCAGTGGGGCGCAGCCCATCCTCACCAAGCTGGAGCCACAGAGTGAGTGGGGCACCACGCAAGTCTGGGGATGGGGAGTGTTATGGGGTTCCACATCTGATTATTTTTTTTTGGGGGGGGGGCTTTTAGTATCCACTGCTAATGAATACGCGTGCAAAGGGCTGGATAAGCTGGAGGAGAAGCTGCCCATCCTGCAGCAGCCCACTGAGAAGGTAATGTCCCTATAGGGCAGGCCTGAAGAAGGGAACCCCACGTGCACTGGTGGGACAAACTGCCCCGTTCTGTGCTCTCCAGGTGGTGGCAGGGACCAGGCAGTTGGTGTTGTGCACAATGATGGGCGTGCGGGAAGCAGCGAGCAGTGCTATGGGAATGGCCTATGGGGCCGTGAAGGGCAGAGTGGAGAAGACACGGAGGATGCTGAGCTGCAGCGTTGGCACTGTTGTGGGCACACATCTGGGTCAGCTGCTGGCAAACGGAACCGACACAGTGCTGGAGAAGTCGGAGGAGCTGGTGGAGCATTACTTGCCTGGGGTGGATGAGGAGCCAGGTGGGTGCCCACTGCCCTGTGCTGAACCATCTCCTTCTTTTTACGGGGTGTAACCCCCAGTTGGGACTGAACCCCATCCCCAGGGCTCAACACTGCTCTGGTACCGTGGGAGCTGGGTGCCATGATGGGGGTGTGGGCACTGAAAATCCCACCTGCAGAGCAGCCTTCACCCCTCTGCCAGGGCAGCGTTGAGCCTCGCAGAGCCACCGTGACCCAGAGGATGTTCCCTGCATGGGGAAACATGTAGAGCAGCAACGGGTGAACTCTCACCTGGAAAGCAGAGAGCAAATATAGCCCTGTGCCACCAGCCTGCGTGAGCTGGGTATTTATAGCTCAGCACAGAGCAGTGGTGGGCAGAGCTGGCGCTGTGTCACCGCAGAGGTGACCGCAGGGGCGGAGGGGACACCTCCAACGACTGGGTGCCAAACACCCTGCGCTGTGACACAGGGCTCAGGGCACATCCTCGGGGATGCTCTGCAACCCGTGCAGCTCTCACCATCACCCTGCAGCAGGTGGCACCGAGGTGACCTCGAGGGAGCAGCGGCGGAGGCGGCAGAGCTGCATGGTGCGCGTGGGCTCACTTTCAGCCAAGCTGAAGCACCGCGCGCTGCGGAGGTCCTTGGGTGAGCTGCAATGGGCCCAGCACAGTGCACAGCAAGCCCTCAGCCGCCTGCACCGCATCATCGAGCTGGTAAGGCTGCAGCCATCCCCACATCCCCACTTAGATCACAGCGGCGCACTCTCGGTGCTTTCCATCCATTAGATCCAGCAGGGCCGGCACGGCGTGGACGGCTCATTGCACAGCGCCCGGCAGCACCTGCACCGCATGTGGCTGGAGTGGAGCCTGCAGGATGATGCACCCATGGAGGACAAGCAAGTACGGGAGGGCCTCTCCTCAGCAAGAGGGGTTGGGGCTGTGCCTGCAGCTCTGCCTTGCTGCTTTCCAGGTGGAGGTGAGGACCATGGCCATGCTGCGAGGGCTCCTGAGGCAGCTGCGGGCTGCTTGCGCCCACCTCCCCATCCGAGGGCTGCCGAGCGGCGTGCAGGACACAGTGGGGCACGTGAGGCACGGCGTGGAAGGATTGCACAGCTCCCTATCCCGTGCTTGTTCCTTCCACGACCTGTCAGGCATGGTGCTGGAGCAGAGCCGGCAGCGCGTGCTGCAAGCGCAGCTGAGCATCGATGAGCTCCTGGAATACGTGGGGCAGCACGCAGCCCTGCCGTGGATTGTGGGACCTTTTGCTCCCGTCCTGGTGGAATACCCGGAGGATTGTCCCATCGAGATGGCTAAATGGAATGGGTGTGTTTGTGTGGGGCACGGGGTGAGCACTGTGCCTGGTGACTGCGTAGAAAGAAGCCAATCCCAATGGGGCCAGCAGCAGGATGGATTCGATGACCTGGTGTGGGATCTGTGATGCAAGCAAGGGGATGGTGGCACGTGGAAAAAAAACCCCAGATGGCATCAGGATTCCTTATCTTAGCAGCTTTCCGAGCACGCCAAAGAGAGAAAAACAAACCAAACAATCCCGACCCATCGCTCTGTGCCTCACATTGAGTTGGGGGAGGGAGGGGGGGGACACGTAGAGCCGGGTTCGGCTCCATCCGGTGCGGAGGTGGCCGAATGTCCCCGGACTGTGCCCCGCCGTCGGGTGGCAGCGGACTTCGGCCCCGTTATCACCGTCTCCGCTTCCCACGGTGCGCGCGGGGCTGTGCGAGCATCCTCACGTCGGGGGGCAGCGAGGGGGGGTGGGGAGCGTCTGACAGCCGTGGGTAACGCTGGGGGGGGAGGAGAGGCGGGGGGGGAAGGGATGGGATTGGGAGGCGTGGAACTGCGCGTTCCGCTGGGGAAGAGCTGCGCCGTCGGTCGCTGCTCTCGGGCCGCCCCCGGTAGGGTGGGACGCGGTCACATGCGCACGGGGCGGGACCCGGGGCCATAAAAGCGAAGGGGGGAGCGGCCTCGAAAGGAGCGTCGTGGGTAGCATTGAGCTGGTGAGTGGGGCGGGGTGGGGGGGTGACCCGGTCCGAGTCCGGAGCTGCTGTGTGTCCCCCACCCGTCTCATCCCCTCCGGGAAGCAGCCACCACCGCTCCGTGCTGGGGGTGGGCGGGGATCGGACCGCCCCGTCGTGGGTGGGAGCTTCGGGGGTGAGCGGTGTGCGGAGCGGGACCCCCCCTGTCCTGGGGTGTGCGAGTCCGGGGTTCCGCTCCTGGGGAAAGGAGGGGATCGCTGGGGTCGGGGGACGACGTGGGGTTCTTTCTTCCGGGGTATTCATTCAACCCCCCCCCCTCTACCCTCACCGTGCAGATTTTTGGGGGTGCTGCCCTCCTGCTCTGCCCCGCCATGGCCGCCAGCGAGGATGGCACAGCGCAGCCCAAAGCTGAGGAGCAGCAGCAGGTCAGTGGGGCCGAGGGAGTCGGCCTGCATGGGGATGGGAGCTGCGGGCACCGGGGGCGGGCGGTGACCCACCCCATCAGTGACCCCATTCCCATCCACGAGGGACCACGGGCTGCGTTTTGCTCTCACCGCTCCCCATTGTCGTGCACAGAGCATCGGGACGAGGGTGGCCAGCCTGCCCCTGGTGAGCTCCGCCTGCGGCATCGTGTCCAGTGCCTACAGCTCCACCAAGGAGAGCCATCCCTACGTCCGTTCCGTGTGTGATGCTGCTGAGAAGGGGGTGAGGACTCTGACAGCAGCAGCCTTCAGTGGGGCGCAGCCCATCCTCACCAAGCTGGAGCCACAGAGTGAGTGGGGCACCACGCAAGTCTGGGGATGGGGAGTGTTATGGGGTTCCACATCTGATTATTTTTTTTTGGGGGGGGCTTTTAGTATCCACTGCTAATGAATACGCGTGCAAAGGGCTGGATAAGCTGGAGGAGAAGCTGCCCATCCTGCAGCAGCCCACTGAGAAGGTAAGGTGGGGTGCGTGGTGCGTGGGGATCTGCCCCAGTGCTGCCTACCAGGGCTTTGTCGTTCCCACCAGCTCATCTCAGACACCAAGCAGCTGGTGACATCCACAGTGACGGGGGCCAGGGATGTCCTGACCTCCACTGTGGCCGGAGCCAAGGATGCAGTGAGCAGCCGTGTGACAGGAGTGATGGATATGACCAAAGGAGCCGTGCAAGGCAGCGTGGAGCTGACCAAATCAGCGGTGAGCAGCGGTGTCACCACCGTGATGGGCTCCACCGTGGGCCAAATGGTGGCCAGTGGGGTGGGCTCTGTGCTGGACAAGTCTGAGGAGCTGGTGGACCACTACCTGCCTATGACAGATGAGGAGCTGGGTAAGGATCTGATGGCAGTGTGTAGAGATGGGGGGGGGGGGGGGGGGGGGGGGGGGGGGGGGGGGGGGGGGGGGGGGGGGGGGGGGTCAGTGTGGGGAGAGCTCACGCTGGCTCTATGTGGAGGTCAGTAGTGGGGCAGGGGCCCAGTTGATGGATTCCTTTCCTCTAGCTAAGCTTGCCACGGCTGTGGAGGGCTTTGAACCAGAGCAGCAGAAGAAGCAGCAGAGCTACTTTGTACGCCTGGGCTCTCTGTCATCCAAATTGCAGCACCGTGCCTTCCAGCACTCCCTGGGCAAGCTGCAGAGCGCCCGTGCCAGCAGCCAAGACGTGCTGGGCCAGCTCCAGCGTGCCCTCGACCTGGTAGGACCATCCCCATCCCCACCCCCACCACTGGGCTGGGATCAGCCACCCACCCACTCTTTTGTCCATACTGCAGGTGGAGCATCTCAAGCAAGGCGTGGACCAGAAGCTGCAGGGAGGGCAGGAGAAGCTGCAGCAGCTGTGGTTGGAGTGGAGCACCAAGCAGCCCAGTGGCAGCAAGGAGTTGGTGCCACCAGCAGTAAGCAGAGGGCAGGAGGGTCCCCATTTCTGCCCAGGTTTCCCTGCGGTGCTCACCCCCTACTTTTTGTCTCTGCACAGACAGTGGAATCAGGTGTGCTGGCCCTTCTGCAGGGCTTGGCTCAGCAGCTGCACAGCACCTGCCAGCCCTTGGTGTGCAGCCTGCAGGGTCTCCCTGCTGGCATCCAGGACACGGCAGCACAGGTCCGACACAACGTGGAGGAGCTCCGTGCCAACCTGACTTCAGCCACGTCCCTGCAGGAGCTGACAGGCAGTGCAGTGACACGGGCACGTGCCCACGCTACCAAAGCCCGGGAGCTGATGGATGAGCTGGTGGAGCACGTGGCACACAACACACCCCTGTCCTGGCTGGTGGGGCCTTTTGCTCCATCCATGCAGCAGGGGCAGAGCGTGCAGGAGAAATAGCAGCACCTGGGATGAGGATGGAAGTGTTCCAAGCTGAAATCAGAGCTCCTACTAACCCATCCCTGCCCAAGTACCCATTAACTTCCCTCCCTGACCATCCCAAGTGCCAGCAAAGTGCCTTAGCTTCCCCCAGTGCCTATGGCTGCTCCAGCCCTTGTTGGCCAGCTCTCCATCTTCTCTAGCCTCCACTTGTCACCTCTGGTGCCTTCAGGCCCTTGCTCTTCCCATCTTTGCAGCTGCGTCTGCCCCCAGTTGTGGTGCCTGTGGGGAGGGGGCTGTGGCTTGGGGTGGGTAAAGCAATAAACTCAGTTTAGTTTTGCAATGGTCTAAGCCTTCTTGGGGGAACTGGGGCTGGTAGGGTTGGGAAGCTCGGTTTCACCTCAGGATCTGCCCTGCTTATCTCCTTGCTGCTACTTAAAGTCCTTCCTGGGGCCTTTGCTGGAAGGAGGAATGAGGGCACGTGGTCCTGTCTGGTCTTCCAGGGGTGGGGGCTTCCAATAATGGCACCAGCAGGGGGTACTGAGCTCCATGCTGGGCCTCCACTACCCCCAATGCTGTACAGAGCCCAGGGCTGAGGGGTTGAAACTAGAAAATCATTATAGTCTGTTTCAACCCAGGCCATTCTATGATTCTGAAGGTCAGGGGCTCTCGGGGAGTACAGACCTCTGGGTCTCATTTCCAGTACCTGCCCAGATCTGGTCCACAACATGTATCTGACTTTTAGCTCACCCGTAAGTGGTGCTCACAGAAGCCCCTTGCTGGGATGACGCACAGTTTGGCCAACCCAAGACCTGACTTCCCAAAAATTGGGCAAGAAGGAAGCAAGGTTTATTTGGGTTTTGTTTATGGAAGGGTGGAACATGAAATAAACCCTGGAAAAGAGCACAGACTCCCCAGAGTATGGTTACAGCAATACCAGCCTGGGATCAGGGCACACCACCCTGTGTTGGCACTGCCTGAGCCATGGCCCAAACAGGACACGAGGACACAGCATCTGGTTGAGCTGGGAACATCTTTATTTTGTATGTACAAAAGCTTCAGATTTCTTGCAAAAGAGCAGAAAGACGGACAGGCAAACAAGATGCTGCCCAGCACAAGGCAGGATGCTGCCACTGATGAGTCCCCCAGCCAACACAGGGGAGAATACACAATTTCACTGTGCTTACCCAAAGGCAGATGCCAGCCCTGCTGGAGTGGAGGGACCAGGCTCCAGCAGCTGCAACCACAGGAGAAAGGGGCTCAGAACAACAGAGTGAGGATCTGCCACTGAGGGGAGAAGTCCTTCCCTAGTGGGGCTGCACTCAGCACCAGCACTGGAAAATGAAGAAGGAAGGGTGGGAGCACAGCCAGGCCCCACCATCCCCCCTTGGGGACAGCTGTGGAAGGGACAGGGCCAACTCTGGGTGTTCAACCCAGCTCAGGGCCCAAGGGAATAGGGAGCCTTGAGGATTTGCTCTGGTCCCAGCCCTGGGCAGGGACAAAGGGATGAGGGAGGCTCCTGCCCACCCTTAGTCACAGTCAACGATGCCTTAAGAAAAAGACACTATGGCTCTTTGTGTTTTTCATTAAAAAACCCTTTATATTCATTTCATGTCGGTTGAAATCACAAGAAATTAGGTTTGAGGGGGTTGGGGGGAGGAAGAAGGAAAAAAAAAAAAAAAAAAGAAGGGACAAATACAGACAAAACAGCACAGTCTCCCCCCACGTTCAGTGCTTTCACGGGGTCGGGGGCACAGGACAAGACCTAGGACATCAGCTACTGTGTGACTTAGTGAAGTAACGCAAAGATGGGCAAGGCAGAGGCCGGTCTCCCTTGGGAACAGGTTGTGTGGCCCCTCCAACATCCTCCTGCAGGCAGTCCCACGTGCTCAGCTCTCCTCATCCTCAGCTCTCCTCTGCATCATCCACAGACTCTGACTCCCCACGAGCCCTCTCCCGTTCGGCGCTAGGATAATCCTGCACACTGCAAGGAGAGCACAGGCACCACCTCAACAAATGTCTCCTCTCTGCCCTGACCCCCCAGCATCCCCTTCCCAAGCTAGGAAAAGCCCCACAACCCATAAAATCCCCCAGATGTGGCCAAACAGGAGCCCAGCTTCATGCAGAGTTGAGGCTGGGTGTATGGCAGATGCCAAGGAGCTCCTCTCTGCTGCGTTTGCCCTCTCTTCCACTCACTTGTTATGGGCCTCCTCGCTAGGTGCCTCTGGCTCTCCAGCTCCTGGCCCTCGGCTTTTGTCTCTCTCCTGCTCCTCTGTGCCCTCCGTTTTTTGGGACAAGGATTCGCCATTCACAGGACCTGACAAGTCTGCAGAGAAAAGACAGGCTGGGACACTTGGGCTCTTGGGGCAGTTCTCACTCACCCAACCCAACCCCACCTCATTCAAGAGGCTGGGCACCACCAGGACCAGCACAGCAGGTTGTCCTGGTACACAGCCAAGCCCACAGCATGGGTATCCCAACTCTGGCCTGACCAAGACAGCTATTAGAATCAAAGACTCAACTGCCCAAGCCCAGAGGCTGACCTCAGCATAGATTTTCCCCACTGTCTCCTCCAGGAAAACTCTTACGCCATTATTAGGACGTGCTCAGCCAGGGACTGACTGCTGGGCTCGCAGCCATGAGACAAAGGAAGATCACAGCTACCAGCTGCCTGTGCAACAGCCCCTCCAAGGGTGTCTCCACATTCCTTCATCTCCCTGGTGCCCTTGACCACAGCTCAAAGAGTGAGCCTGGCCCAAAAGCTGCCCCAGAGGCACTCAAAATCAGGGCGTGGACACTGAGGTTGCCCTCTGCTCTTACTGCCACGAGCGTTTGATATTCATCCCACAAAGCCTCATTTAAAAATGCAGTCCCTAGACTCTGTGGGGGAAGCTGGTTTGAAACTGCCCCTTCTCCAGACAGCTCCGCAGCCTGACATGAGCTAGACAAAGGTCCACAGGGGGACCAGCTGTGCCCTGAGCACAGCCCTGGGATTGCTACACACCCAGACAGAGCAGGGAACCACCCTGAGACGTGCAGGGAACATTACCAGCATTCATTTCCTCTTCTCCCTTCTCATTCTGTGTCTCCCCTCCTGACAGCTTCTCCTGGCCTTTCTCCACATCCCCCTTGTCCTTCTCAGGTCCAGCTTTGTTGGCTTTCTGGATTGCTTCCATCTTTGGTCCTAGGACACGTGACTTCAAGCGGGTGTAGACTTCAGCAGCTTTCTCCATCACGTCCTTGTTTGCTTTATAGCGACGGATCTGCAACAGAAACAGGGACAACCTTGGAGCTGTAGTGCCCTAAGCAGGTTTGTGCCCTCCAGTGGATGTTCAATCCTCCACCTGCCATACCTTCTTTAGAGTAGCCACCACATCAGTGTGTTTCTGGAGGATGTGAGAGGTGACCTGGAGTGCACCCAGCTCCTCTAATGCATTCAGGCACCGCTTGATGTCCTGCAAGGATGGCATCAAGATCAGAAACTGCCTGGAAGTCTCTCTGTGGATTACATCTCTCTCTGCACAAGCAGCAGGGGGAATAAATTGGGAGCCAGAGGGACTTCATTTGCTAAACCCCTATGGGGTTTTTCAGCAAAACTCTGGATCTGTCTCAAGGGAGACACCAATCCTAAAGCCCTCCAGTCCCAACTCCACTTGCTCAACTCAGGTGAGAGAACAACCACCCCCCACTTGTGGGGACAGGAATGGGAATGACAGAATCATCCCTGCCAGCTCCCAAGGGAGCAACCAGGGCAGCCTTGAGCTCCCAGTGGGCACCCAGGACCAGCACTGCTGTGAGCACAGTTCCCTCACAGCACCCACTATCAAGTCATCTGCCTTGAGCAGCTGGCAAGGCCTGCATGGTGGCCAAGGACACAACCAGGGATCTCCCAGGCCAGGCCAAATGTGTTCGAGCACTCACCGGGTTATCCACCTTCAAGGCAAACTTGATCTCACTGTGAAGTTTCTGAAGTTTCTCTTCAACTGTGGGCTCTGGAGCAGCAAGAGACAGAAAAACGTAACAGGTCACCAGTATGGAGCATGCCACTACACAGGACATCTCCCCCAAAAGGAGACTGGTTTTTTCTCATGTCTCCAAAGCTGAAAGCAGCCTCAGGGGCTTCTATGAGGAGAATGGGCTGAGGTGTGCCAAAATTAGCAGGAATCTATGTAGGAAAGTGGTCTCTACACACTCTGTAAATAGTTTTCAATGTGATGCGGGGACCACAGCCATGCTGGAAAGGTGCAAGCATAGCCACACTGATCCCAACTTGACAGAACTCTCCCCCAGCTCCAGTTGGGAAAGGAACCAGCCCTGGCTCCCTTCTGTAACTTCTCTCAAAAGCAATTGCTCTCTCACCCTTTTTCTTCTCCATTCTCCTTTCAGGGATCAGGTCAGACTTCTTCCGGCCTCTTTCCACTTTCAAAGGTCTGTGGGTAAACAAAGAAAGAGGTCATTCAAGGGATGCCTGCAGGTGAAACCACCTGCCTGTTGCTTGGCAAGCAAGCAAGGTGACAGCTCATGCCAGTGCATCCTCCAGACTGTTCAACAGCATGAGCCCTGCCACACTCCACCCATGCTTGCAGACACATCTCTGAGATCACACAGGCAGGAGCTTTGAGACAGCAGCTCCCCCATGCTCCAGCTTTCCAGAACTGCAGAAAGGCAGAACTCAAAGCAAGGTGTCTAGGGATACCCCAAGGATCTTCCCCTCTGTGGGTTGGAATAAAACAAGGGAGCTCAGCCTGGTGCCATCCAGACACCTTCATCAGCCCCTTCAGCTCTAGGAGAAAGGAGAGGAGAACCCCCCCCCCAATGGGTGCTGCTGTCACAGACAGCTCCACAAGGATGTCCATCCCCACTCCAGGGTGTCCTCAAAAGGGACTGGGCACCAGCAGAGGAGGAGATCTGTCCCCAGAAGAAAAGAGCACTGAGTGCAGGGAGGGGAGATGCTGACTTGTTTCGTGGTTTCTCCTCTGCTCGGCCTCTCTTCTCCTTCTGATTTGGTTTCCTTGACAACTCTGAGGGCTGCTTCTTCACTGGTTTCTTTACCTGAAAGGAGAGAACAATGCAGGCAAAAGCAGATTGCAGCAGAGAACCCCCCACCCCATCCCAATCACTGCAAAAGGGAGACAGTGCCATGGCCCACTCTGATCCTCCCAGTCCCATATGGGGGTGATCCAGAAAATCCAACAGCCAGCACCCATGATATCACTGCTGCAAGCCACAGGCAAGCAGCACCATTGGTCTGGGTGCAGGGCTGTCCCTTGCACAAGATGAAAAAAGACTTGGGTTACAGCATAGCCATCTGCTGCTCCAGAAGTAAATATGCTGGTACTTAAAACAGCCCACCAGCCTGCAATACCTGGCTGCCTGTGTGGGCAGAGCCACACTTCCTTTCACAACTCAGATCTGCATGATGCTTTCATAGCCCAGCTCTACACGGACAAACAGGCACTAGAATGAAACAATGAGCCTTCCTCTGTCAGTGAGGAACCACAGCTGCCAAAGGCCCTCTGCAACCTTTCTCAGTGCTTCGCCCAAGCCTTGCTAACCCTTTCCATTATCTGCAGAGCAAAATGATGATTGTGGTGGGAGGGAGAGCATCACAGGGATGTAAGCTGGATGAGGGCTCCAGAGCCCAGGGAACAGCTGCCTAGAGATACATCCCTTTCCTGCAACTCCAGTGTAACAGAAGACCAAGGCAGCAGGTCACTGCCGCTCCTGGAAGCACCTGTTGACCTAACAAGGAGAGAGGGTGGGTTGTCATTTGACACCAGCTCTCCTCTTGTACTCACCTCTTTCTCCATCTCCAGCTCAGAGTCTGAGGAGGATGGGGCCTTACCCCGGCCTTTTCTGCCCTTTTTGGCCACTTCATCATCTGCACTACTGTCGCTGTCTGAGTGCATCTCCTCGCCCTTCTCTGCTTTCTCCTTCCTTTTCTCTTTTTCCTCCTTCTCCTGCTCCCGGAGCCGACGGATTTCTTCCTCTTGTTCCCTCTTCCTCTTCTCTTCCAGCTCCCGTCGCCTTTCCTCATCTCGCCTCTTCCATTCACTGATACGGTCCACATCACTGTCACTATCACTACAAAAAAAAAAAAAAAAAAAAGCGTGTTTGGAAGCCTTGTTGTGAGAAGTGAAGCCAGGGACTCCCCCCCAGCCCAGTGGGTGACAGCACCCCAATCCCACTGCAGCTGATCTCACCTGTCGCTGCTGGAGCTGATAGGGACACGCTCAAGTTTTGGTTTCCTACCACGGGGTTTGGGAGGGGGTTTCTCAGCTGCAAGACAAAGAGAAGATGTTCAGCAAAAGCCCTGGTAGCTTCTTGTGAAAACTGCCCCAAATCAGGGGGTGCTCAGACATGCATTAGATGCTGCCCACAATAGAAAGGGATGCCAGAACCTCAGAAGCACCCAATTTCCCGTGCTCTCCAGTATCCTGAAGAAGCCAGCAATGGCTCAGTTGCAGTAGGTGAAGTCTCCTTGGTGTTACCTGGCTTTCTGCCCCGTTGAGGCTTTTTAACAGACACATCAGAGTCTGAATCGGAGTTGGAGTCTGACTTGGTCATGTCCACAGTCGCATTTCCCATTTCTGAGTCTGAGTCCACTTTGGAGTCAGAATCGGAGCCAGACTCCACTTTCTGTAGATAAAAAGCAGGGTTGGAGGTGGGAAGCAGGAGCAGCTGACATCCCCAAACACAGCATTGCAGGGCCCAGCCAGGTCACTGAGACAAAAGCAAGGTGTCACAGCCCTCCTGCCCCAACACAGCAGCACAGAGCTCAGTCTCCCTGCTCAACTGAGAAGCCACCCCTTGCACCTTCCTAGACAGTGATGGCAAAAGCCAGCTCCCTCATCACCCAGGGAGTCTGGAGGAAAGCAAAGTAGCAACATAAAGGGACAAACCACTTCAGGAGTCTTTTTACCTTCTTCTTCCTTCCCCCTGCAGGCATCCTCCGGGGAGCCCTGGCCACTGGCTTCTTCTCAGGAGTGAAGTCCTGAAGGAAAGCCCAGATATTAAAAAATGGGGAAAGATTTCATAAAGGTGAAGCCAGTCAGTTCCTCCAGGCCCTGATTCAGTGCCATTGGCTCCACAGATGGTGCTGCTCTTCCAATAGCATCCCGCCAGCCTCCATACAAGCTTACCCCAAACCCTCTTACCTGGTCACTGTTTTTTTCTGACTCAGAAGACGTTTCCGAGTTCTCTTCTTCTGTCAGGGAGGGGCTGCCCTGATCTTCACTTGAAGATTTCCGAGGCCTTTTTGCCACTGGCATCTGATACTCGAGAAGCAACAAAGTGAGAAGTCCACCCCCTTTCCTCCCACAGCAGAAAGGGAGGAAGAGGTTGCCCAGCTCTACCGGATCAGCCCCATGGGAATGGCTACATGCACTCAGAAGAGACGTGCACCAGGATTTGGCCACGCCACCACTTCACAAACAAAGCACAACACCTGCAAGACCCCTGAACACACAGTGGGCCCTACAACCACACTACAGCAACCCCCCTCCCCCATTCTGGGACAGCCCCCCAACCCCACTGCCTCAGCCCACACTCACTTTCATTGCCAGTGATTTTCGTTTGAGCCCACTGTGGTCACTGCCTCGATCTGAGTCCTCATCACTTTCCATTTTCTCTGTGGTGACTGCAGCCATGGCAGCATCTTCCTCATCATCACCAGCATCACTTCCCCCCATCGGGTCATTTTCGGGGATGTCACTGTCAGATGAGCTGGCAGGCTAAAGACAGTGGAAATAACAATGATGTTATTGCACCAGCAGGCCTGTGGTGCACCAGGCTGGAGAAAAGGGGCACAAAAGGGTGACAAGCAACGAACAGCAGCATTGAGCAGAGAGGAGCACATACAGAAGAGCACAGATAAGGTCCCCAACAGGAGCCAGGGCCCTTCAGCATGGTTCTGGGGCAGAAGGACAATATCACACAGCCCTTGGATGAGCGTGCTCTTGACCCCCTTCTAATCTCCCTGCACCCCCTTCCCCAAGACCCCTTCCACACCACCCCGAGACCACCAGAAAGACCTTCCCTCCAGCTCCCTTGGCTCAGCTCCACCTACCACTTCCTTGCTCCCCTCCCCAGCATCCTCATGCTCTGCCAAAGACCCCTGGAGAAGCCTGAGCTTGACATCCACCGTGGGTGAGTGGACCCCAGCCTTCTCTGCTTTGCAAGTGCCAGAGAAGCAGGGCTGGGTGGTGTGGTTCAGTCCTTCCTCCAGCAGCTCATTTCATGCCAGGCCTCTTCCTTCTCACACACCTTCCCCATCAGAACGGCCTGTAAAAGGAGTCCAGCACAGCAGCCCTGCTGTCGCCCAGTTGGGATCTCTTCCATGCTGTTCCACCACCCCACACAGGGAACATCTCCCAGCTTCTCATCAGCCCATCATGAGGTTCCTCAAACAGGCACATTGCATCCAAGGGGAAGAAAGCACCTGAGCTGCTTCTTCTGGGCTCTTCCATTCTTTTCACAGACAGCAGGACCCGTTGACCCTAGAGCTGAGGTTCTTCCAGCACTGAAGCCTTGCTGCTGGAAAGACTCTCATCATTTTGACTTTTCTTGACACCTTGCTTCACTTAGGTCTCAAAACCAAAAAGCCTCTACTTCAGTCTCTTCTGTGAGACCTGTGGCCTCGTCGGGATCTTTGCCATGGCCTCAGTCACAGCAGACCCTTCAGGAATGAGTTTCTTAAGTCTGCTGGAAGTTCACAGTGGTGCTGAGCAATCTCTTGAGTAGAAGGTGCTGCCTTCCTCACCATTGCCATCCTCCCTCCCGCCACTACATACAAGCCAAGTTGTTCTCCAGGTTCTCAAAGATCTCCAGGGTCTCACCTTATCTACAATTGCATCCTTGGGTCCAGCCTTCTCCCACAGCTACTCAAACCACAGCTCCTCTCCTGCAATGCCAGCAGCACATCTGAGCCTGCCTACCTCCAGACCATCTCGTCTTCATAGCTCACCTTTAAAAACCTTCCTCTGCCTCTTCAGACCAACTGCCTATGAAGCTGCTTTGGACGCCTTCTTTGAAGATCGCTATACAATAAATTGTATCATACAATAATGGTTACAAAATGCCCTTCGTACACATGAACAATTGACAGCAAAGAGCCATTCCCCAGCCTGCTCTGAAGGAGCAATCAGTGGCTTTTGGCTCAGGACCTTGGAAATGGATGAAGAGAGGGACTGCACACAGGTCCATGAGCCAGGGACCAGCAAGCCTCCATTCTCACTCTGACAAAGAAATCCTCTGTGGCTTTGGGCAAGGCACACACAGCACATCCCTGTCTCGCCTCAAAGATGGGGCAGAGGTGCCTACCTCGCAGAGGACAAGGAGGGCCGACTCACCGAAAGGAGAGGCAGGAAGGGGGAAGCTATTTCAACCCGAGAAAGCCAATCTGCGAGATGGAAGCGCAGAGACACCACAGCAGTGACAAGCAGAAAAAGGAGGAGAGCGACTTGGAGGAAAGGAAAGCTGGAGGCAGCCCGGATCCTTGCTGACCCCCCGCCACACGAGGCCCACACTCACCGGAGGGGCACTGTAACTGGCATGAGGGTTGTTCTGGATTTCCCATAATCCCTCGTTGAAGCCTTTTCTCTTGTTTGGTTTCCCATATTTGTCCTTATACTTTTCATAGGGGAACAGATCTTTGGGGCCCAAAAAGGCGCTGGAGAGAAACAAAGCAGAGGTGAGCCCAGAGCAGAAGCAGCAGGGCAAAGCCCAGAGAGGGGACGAGGCAGCGCTTACGTCTCGTGAGTGCCGAAGAAGAAGATGGGGTACTTGTTCGGCGGGGGTTTCACAGCACCATCCGCGATGTCATCGATCTGAAAGGAAACCCAAAGCAGGAGGTGGTCAGAGAGAGCGGCTTGGGCACATCCTCTGCAAGGCACATTAGCCCCGGCTAGCAGCGTCGGACTCCAGCACACACACACACTTGGAGGCAAGCATGGCAACAAAGCACCCGGACAGGGAACTTGCTACGCACAGAGTCCTAATGCAGCATTATGGCCAAGCAGGAGCTCTAGAAGAGGAACAGAAGGGATCCGGCACAGACGCTTTATGGCTATAGCTGGGCACGATGTGCCCCTCATCAGGATGCGTGGGAAACCCCCTCCAAGCCCAGGGGTGGCAGCTCCAACAGGTGGCCTGAAGGTCCCTCCTGGCTGCAGACAGGCCACAGGCAAAGCCCAGCCACCAGCAGGACGCACGGGCACCCCAGTCTTCTTCCCAACACGCCGCATTGGCTCCGGTGCCCTTCGGTCTGCTCCACATGGTCTGGGCTGGGGCACAAGCAGGAGCCTCGGGGGCCCCCCAACACGCTGGGGAGTCTTCGGGAGGAGAATTCCCAAAGGAGCAGCCAGCTAAAGCAGGAGATGCTGTGAGCAATGCGAGCGCCCCGCTGGAAGGGCCGAGTCCTCTCGGCGCCGGGCCCCAGCCCCACGTTGGTGCAGGGCTTGGCATCCCAGATTTCCTGGCGTGGTGCAACCAAGCAGCGTTGTCTCCAGCACCCCGATCCTGCACAGCACCACTCACCATCGCACCAACCCACCGAGCCATCACACCCTTAGCACTGCAGAACTCTAACTGAGCCCTGCACGCCCCGTGTTGGCATTGTCATTCAGGATGGAGATGCACAGCACTGCCCACCAGGACGGCCATCCCCACCACGTGAACTTTATCACCCCTCACTCTGCCGGCAGCACAACAGCACAGCTCGCTCTGCTCCTGCACCTTGAGAGCTCGCAGTCCCCTGCACGCATCAGTGCCACCTCAACGCGGCCCAGCAAAGGGCACTGCCCCACAGCAGCTCTGCCCCCATCCCTCCTCCTGTTGTCCTCTGAGTTTGCAAGGCTGTGCAATGCGGTGGAAGGACGAGGCTGGAGATGGAAGGATGGGGCAGGGGATGGGCGCCGGGGGTACAGACCCAGCAGGAGCCCAGCAGGGCAAAGGTCTGTGAGAGTAGGGCAAAGCGGGGGCCTTTCTTGAGTGGTTCTCCACCTCGGCCAGGGTCTGGGCTTGGCCCATGTGTCAATACAGGAGCTCAGCTCCCCGCTTGGGCTCAAGTGCCAGCGTGGGACCCAAGCATCAGCACGGGGCCTCAGTTCCCATTCAGCCCAAGCATCAGCGCGGGACCACAGGGCGGCGGGGGCACAGGGCACCAGGGGTGACCCAGACACGGGAGCAGGGCAGAACGGGGGGCAGAACGGGCAGAACCCCAACCCCGGCCGGGATCAAACCGCGCTGCGGTGCCAGCGCGGGTCCAGCCGGCCCCGCTGCCAGCAGAGCCCCGCTGCCCAATGCGGGACCTCGGCTCACACTCCGCCCGAGCGCAGCGCGGGCTCGCAATGCCGGCCCGCCCCGATCGCAGCCCCGCTGTCCCCGCGTCCCGCCGGGCTCCGTTCCGCTGCGAGCGGCCGTGAGAAACCCGCGCTGCGGAGCGCGCTCCGCCCCGAGCCCCGCCGCCCCGGGGCAGCCCCTCCCGAGCCCTTCCCCTCGCGGAGCGGCCCCGCGGGCTCACCCGGGCGGGCCAATGCGGGTAGCCCTTCATCTTGGCGAAGACGAGATCTCCGGGCTTGAAGCTGTGCGGCATGGCGGCCGCGGGGCGGGGCGGCGGCGGAGGCCCAGGCCGCGGGCAGCAGCAAGCAACGGGGCGGGGACGGCCCGGCCCGGCCCGCAGGATGTCCCGCCTCTCCCGCAGATTCGGCTTCTATTGGTTGCTAGCAGTGCCGCTCTGCCATCTCGTCCAATGGGAAGAAGCGAGGGCACGGCGGGATAACGGGATTGGGCCGCGCCTCCGGCGGCGGTGGGGTGGAGGCAAAGAGGGGCATGGCCGGGGGGGCGGGGGCCGAGATGTGGAGGAGCGCGGGGCCTCTGCGGGCTGAGCTGCGGGGGTCGGGGTTAGATTTAAAGGGGTCAGGGGCTGCGGTTTGGGGCAGATCTGTGAGGGGGGGCGTGGGCTGTCAGGAACTGCGAAAGGAATGAAAGGAAGAGCCCCGTGGAGAGGTTCCCCGTGGCACGAAGGTGAACCATTTAGAGGGAAAAAAGCCATCAGCGGCCATCTCGCTTGGGGCAGAAGTGCAGCCCAGAAAGCCTGAGCCTTCCGGAGAGGTTAAATCCCAGCAGCTCCCTGCAGCGGTCCTGATAGAACCATGAGAGCAGGGCTGGGGGTAGCTGGAAGGCAGCATCCCTCAAACAGTGCAGCTATGGAGAGAGCTTCCCCTTAACCTGGGGGAACGTTCTACAGGAAAGGAACAGGAAGCATGCAGAGGAATTAGACCTGATTTAGAATCGTGACCTGATTTATGTGCTTTTGTAAAAACTCCTTTTCACTTGAACTAAATCTGAGCCAAACCAAATCAGACTGTCTGCAGCTGCATCCTGGTTTAGCTCAGCTTTTAAACTTGTTTTTATACCAATCTGATGTTTGGTTGTTTTTTTTTTTTTTTTCTGTTAAATCATGGAAAAGTAACGATTTGCTGCTGTCTCCAAAGTGAGAAACTTCAGTCAAATGAAAGCTGCATGCGATGCTGTGACAGCCTGAGCTGCGCCTGGCAAGGGTGAGGCTGTTACCAAACACAACCCACACGTGTCGCAGGGATTACCTACAGAGCAATTACACCTCTGGGAGAGGTGAGTGAGAACAAACCATGGGCTGAGTGTGCTGTGTTCCCTGCGGCGCTGCTGGGGCGTGCGTGGCTGCTTTGGTGGCGAGGGGAAATGACTGCAGGCTGTGTGGAAGGAATCCACTGAGGTGTGGCGGGTGCAGACAGCAGCCAAGGATCAGTGTGATGGAGACAGAGTTACCTGGGACAAAGGAGCTGCCCCAAACATCATCTGCTCCTGTGCCCCTAGGGGAAGCTGTGCTGTATTCTGGGCTGCATCCAAAGCAGCGTGGCCAGCAGTCATGGAGGGGATTTGCTCCTCTGCCCTGTGCTGGGGAGACTTTACAGAATCACAGAATGGCCAGGGTTGGAAGGGATCTCAGGAATCATGAATCTGCAACCCCCCTGCCACATGCAGGGCCACCAACCTCCCTGTTTAATACTAGACCAGGCTGCCCAGGGCCCCATCCAATCTGGTCTTGAACACCTCCAGGGACAGGGCATCCACAGCCTCTCTGGGCAGCTGTTCCAGTACCTCACCACTCTCTCTGTAAAGAATTTCTCCAACCTAAATCTCCCCTCCCTCAACTTAAAACCATTTCCCCTTACCTGGACCACTGCATCCAGATGTGGAGTCCTCAGTGCAAGAGAGACATAGACCTGTTGGAGTACGACCAGAGAGGGATGTGAGGGATGCAACAGCTTCCTGTGAGGATGGGCTGAGAGCTGGATCTGTGCAGCCTGCAGAAGAGAAGGCTCTGGGAAGAGCTGTAAGCGGCCTTTCAGTACCTAAAGGGGCTGTAAGAAACAAGAGGATGGTCTTTAGCATGATCCGTGTGATAGGACAAGGGGGAATGGTTTCAGACTAAGGGAGGGAAGATTTAGAGTGGATATGAGGAAAAAGGTTTTTAATATAAGGGAGCACTGGCACAGGTTGCCCAAAGAGGTGGTGGTGCCCTGTCCCTGGAGACACCCAAACTCTGGATGGGGCTCTGAGCACCTGACGGAGCTGTGGTGTCCCTGTTCACTGCAGAGGAGTGTGACCAGATGGCCTTTAGGGTTCCCTTCCAACTCAAACCACTCTGTGATCTACGCCTTGACCCAGTTTGCCTGCAGTTATCGTAGGTTATCATAGGATGACAGAATCATGGAACACTGTGAGGAGCTGCGGGCCGCCATGAGGGGCTGCAGGCCTCGGCGTCCATCAGGGAGATGTAGGCCACCGTGTGGGCTCCCCTCAGCCTCCCCTTCTCTGTGCAGAACAAACCAAGGGTGGGTGTGAGGTGATCTGAGGGCTTCGCGGTCGGTTTACTACTGAATTCGAGTCGGTGTGAGGCTACCTCTGCCGGCCCGGAGGCTCCTCCAGAGACTGGAGGACCGCGCACAGAGGCGACGGGATAGAGCGGCAGGAGGGCGGTGATGGCCCCGCCCCCTTCCGGGCGCGGTCACATGAGCAGACCGGAAGTGAGCAGGTGGGTGCGACAGGTTGCGTTCCGGTGTGGGTTCGCGTCCCGGCTCCGTCGCTATGCGCAAGTTCTTCCAGGAGATGAAGGCCGACCTGAAGTTTCGGAGCGCGGGACCTGGCCAGAAGCTCTCGGAGCCGGCTCGGTACGGGGCTTTCCGCCGCCGGTAACCGCGGGCCCCGCTCTTGGGCCCGGTGCGTCACGGCCTGAGGGACGCTGAACTCTCGGGATGGTTCGAATGCAGCTTGCAGTGATTAGGGAACATACGCTGAGTTCCTCCAAAGGGTGCTTCGCATGCCAAAAGCAAGCGGGTTGCTGCCGGTCCGCGGTGCCCCGGGAGCTGCCTCTTGAGCTGCGTTCTGTCCTGCCGCAGGGTCCCCAAGGAGAAGCCGAAAGCAGAGGCAGCACCGAAACCTCGGCAGGGACCCACTGATGAGGCACAGATGGCAGCGGCGGCAGCGCTGGCCCGGATGGAGCTGAAGCCTAAGGCGAAGCCGCCCTCCTCCCAGGGGGCCATCAAGAATCAGGGTAGGAGATTCCTCCGAGATGTAGCTGGGGTGAGAACCTGGCTGGGCTGCAAGGCTTTGCCAGTGATAGCTCCAAGCTCAGGCAGCTGCTGTAGGTCTGAGCCTGGAAAGAGAGTCCACAGCTTGGCAGCTGTGTAGCTGGAACTGGCTCCTTGCTGATGACAAGCCTCTTAGAAATGGGGCTAAGGCACACCCTGAACCAGAAGCAGAGCACCCACAGAAGTGTTTGCTTCCCCAGAGCAGAACTGCAGTGTGCAAAGCCCTCTGAGGAACCACTTGGGGTCATTATCCCTGCTGCTGTAACTGGGATTTTTCTCTCCTAGTGAGAAAGGAGCTGATGGCTGAGGCAGCTGCAAGTGAGAAGGGGGTTTCTGCAGACCAAGAGGTATGAGACATGCTGCTGTTCCCTAATCATGTTAAGATGCATGCTTTGAGAGTGCTATTGTCCCTGTCCTATAGAAATATGCTAACAATCCACAAAAAAAAAAAAAAAACACACTAAAACCCAACCCACAACAGTCCAATACAAAGCAAACATCGTTCAGTTGCGCCTGCTTTTGTCTCTTTTAGGGCCCAGCCTTCTCAGACAAGGAAGCTGCAGCTGAACCCTCTGTTTCAGGGATCTATTTTATTTGCCCGTTGACCAGCGCAGTTGTAAGAAAAGATGAGAAAGAAAAGCATATCAGAGAAGCCATCCAGTCGGTGAGCTCCACATCTGCTGGCTGTGCTTCTTTCATTCCTTCCATTTAAACTCATTTTGTGCATGAATCCCCTCAAGCAATGCAGCAGTGACCTCTTACCCTCTGCCTTCTCCCTCATCTACCAGACTGCAGGCTCTGTTCAGATGTTATAAATTCCTGTCTTTTTGGCTTGCTATAAATGCTGAGGCAGGGAGCTCTGACCTACATATCCCCTTTGATTGTACAGAATAGTCAGTTCCCCCATGACCAGCTTCTTTTCTTCTTTTCCAGTATTTCTCTGTAGACCCAGTGGCTGCCTCCATCATGGGGATTCACACCTTCAATAAGGATCGGGAGAAAGTCCGAGTAGGTGTGGAAACCATGGCCAAGTGAGTAGGATGGAACTCTCAGGGAGCTTGTCCCTTCCCTGGAAAGTTAGCAGGCATTGCTGCACTTCAGGCAATGTCTGAAGAAAAACAAAGCCAAATGCTTGAAACATCTTAATTAAGTGATGCTGTCAGTTGAAATAAGGTCAAATTCTCTGAGGTGTTTTGAGTTGATCCACTGGTCCAAGAGGTTTGGTGGTTGAGATCAACTACCACCATGTTTTGTATATCTCGCTTTCCTCACTTTTTCAGCTTTTATCTGAGACCTTACAGTATTTCTCACAACATGATCACTATGCGTGGGGGCAGCATGTCCTGAACTGCCCGCTTTGATCCATGAAGTACATTCCTCTTTCTGCAGATACTTGGACAATATCTATCTGCATCCAGAGGAGGAGAAGTACCGAAAAATCAAACTGCAGAACAAAGTTTTTCAGGTGAGATCAGGATTGCCGCAGGTGCTCTGCCTAAGGAACTCCTTGCCTGGAGCAGACTACCTTTAATTTATTTTTTTTTTTCCCCTTTTCTTCCAGGAAAGGATAAACTGCCTGGAAGGCATACATAGATTTTTCCAGTCTGTTGGGTTTGAGACAAAAACACTGCCTGTTCCAGGACAAGGCAAGCTATTTAAGTGTATTGTAAAATGAAAGCAGCAGTTGGTGGGACATCCCAGGGGAGACTTTGGTAGTTCTGAGAGCCCCACACTTCAGGGCTGTTACACAAACAGCCTCTTGCCCTGCATTTTCCTTCTTAAGACAGTAGTTTTTCTGGATCTTGTTGCCCTTATATTTCATACATTAATGTGCTTTTGGTTGTAGAGACCACAGAAGAATACTATGTACTAAAGGAAGAAATGCTGACCAAGTTGGAAGACCTCAAGGACTACAAAGAGCAGCTTTTAAGCTGTGAGCCGCTGAGACTCCAGCTGGATCGCCAGCTCTGTGTATTTAAACCATCACCTGAAGCTGCTCGATTTGAGCTGCCAAATGACTTCTACAACCTCACTGCAGAAGAGATAAAACGAGAGCAACGGCTCCGGTGAGCAGGTTTAAAGTGAGGGCCTCCACTACCCAGGGGGGCATGCGATGCCAGCTAACTACCTTACGCCTCTTCTTCATGCTAAAAATCACTTTTTATCTAAAGGACAGAAGCAGTGGAAAAGGCTTCAATGCTGAGGACAAGAGCCATGAGAGAGAAAGAAGAACAAAGGGAAATGCGGAAGTACAACTACACCCTGTTACGAGTTAGATTTCCTGATGGCTACCTTCTCCAAGGTAAGACTTCTTACCCTCTCTTTGTACACCCCTACTAGCTTTTGAGAATACTTGTAGCAGAAGAGATTGGTAAGCAGGCTTGATGTGCAGAAGACAATTGTTAGAATGAATACAGAAAGAAAAAGAGTAACGTTTCAGTACGAATCTTTACAATCTTTAAGCCTTCCATGTGCCTCACCTGCACAGGGCTGGAACTATAAGCCAGGGTTCACTGTAGAGGAAAGGATCTCAAGGCATTACTAATTAAATGTGCTCTTCCCAGGCTACTGCTAGCAAGCTGGAATCATTAGATGAGTTTGCTATAGTAACCAGCATGAAATTGCCTGTGTGGTGGCAGGCTGTACAACAGTACAAATCCTCTTCAATTTTTGCAGTAGAACTCCAGAAATAGTTTTAGGTTTTCCCAGTTCTTTGTTACGGGCTGGCAGGGGTTTACAACATGTGAAGCAGCACTTTTCTTTAGGAATGCTGCTTTTATACTTCAGTGGAATCAGGCTCTTCCACTGCCACTGAAGTAGTTTATAAAGTTAGCATCAGTACTGGAGCCCTGTGAAACCTACCACAAAAGATTGCATTTTCTAAATGCCAGAGACTCTTCCTCTATGTCACTTTTTCTTCATGGCAGGGACTTTTTATGCACGTGAACCTGTATCTGTGCTCTACAACTTTGTAAGAGAAGCACTCAGAGATAACTGGCTGCCCTTCGAGCTTCTGGGACCTGGAGGTCTCAAACTGACAGAGGAGAACTTGGCTTTCAATGAGTGTGGGCTGGTGAGTAAGAGATGGCACCTTGCACAAGGGTCTTCAGGTGGCAACAGAGCTTTACTTGTCAGGGTCAGATGCTGCTCATAATTTAGATTGCATCTTCAGCTTTCAGCACAGTAGTGCTCTGTCCCTTCTTTAAGCTTAGGCAACTGCATGAGGGCTAACTCAAGGCTAGGAGGCCTTCATCAAAGAAGCTTTAAGGACCTATAGGAAACTCTGACTACAGCATTTGCCACCACTGATAGCAGAGGGCTAGTATCCACTTTGGGAAGAGATGGAACGCAGCAACTGCAAGCTTTATGCTAGAGCTGCACTCAGCTTGCATGAGCAAGCTCAAAGCAGTGTTCCCCAAGGAGTATATACCTATAGTATTGCAGCTTAGTAACACTGCTTTCTCTGTTCCAGGTCCCCTCAGCTCTTCTGACTCTTGCCTGGGATGCAGCAGTCATGTCAGATATTGAGGCATCAGGCCAGGAACAGCCAGCAAGCCCCCTGAAACCAGAACTTCTCTCCAACGTCCAGACACTATCTTGAAATAAATGGGAATGGATTCAGCACAGGTGGCTTTAGACTGTTCCCTTAGGCTGGAACTTCCAATATGCGATCACAGAAATGACTTTTAGCTCTGCAGTGTGGGAGGCTAGAGATTCAGCCATTTAAAACCAACCTGAAGTCATTTCCACAACTCAGTAGCCATTCAAGGTAGTCTTACCCAGTAAAGCTTTCAAGGCTGCACTTAATGGCTTTAAGAACTAAGTTCTAGCAATGACTGTTGAAGGTATTTTTAAGGCCATGATGAAATACCACTTTCCTCTTTTGGAGGAGGGATGAGATGCTAATAGAGGGCTGGATGACAAACTGATAGAGCCTGGATATTGGGCTGGGCTTAGAATTCAGCTTTTCCTTTTGTTTCTATGTGCACTGTAACTCCTATTGGAGAGAGTATATTTAGGTAACGTTATGTTTAATCTAATTAAATTGATTATTTAAAGATTCAGTTCTGCTTCAAGTTATTTGAATTGCATTACTCTTACAGTTTTGAACTACAGCTGAGTTCCAGTCACTGCTGGAGCTAGCACTAATGTGCAGCTGGGGCATTAGTCCTCATCTTCCTAAGGCAGCTGCAGACAGAAGAGCCAGCCTGGGAAACAAACAAGAGCTACTTATGCTGCATTTTCCCTCTGATGAGAGATTAAACTCCAGGTTCCAGCCAGTAGTCCAGGGAATTCATTCCTCAGCAGCTGAGAAGCCTTATAAAAAGTTAAAAACCACAGCAAGCTTGTTATATACATTAACAAGTGTGATGCTAGTTCCACTCCACATGCTTAAAGCTCACCTGGGGGATAGCCATCAGCTTTTTTACACACACCTTTTCTATTGCAGCACTGTATATAGGAGACCAATAGTCTCTCATTGTCACTAGCCTGTAATTAATATCAGACTATCACAAAATAGAACAGCTTGCAAGTACTCCCTGTTCCAAAGGCATAGCTGTGGAGCTGTTCCCCGTAGCAAGTAAAGTCACAAACAGGATAATATAGATAGCATAAAATCAAATGTAATTGTACATCATTCATACCCAAGGGCATGCTATACAACATTATGAACAGAGTAAGTCTCAAGAAGCATCACAATAAGCTTATTTAAAAACCCTCCACTAACATAGATACCTTCCATTACAAAGAAGTATCAAAATTTCAATAATGCTTTATTAAGGACAGATTAATATGCAATATTTTTTAAGCTAAAAACTAAAGATTTAAGCTTCCATCTGGTCTGAAGCAGAACAAAGTGCTGTCTTCTCTTTACAAGAAATATGGAATACTTTCAGGTATCTTGTTCAAAGATACACAGGGTTTTAAATTTTCTAAATAATTCTACATACATACAAGAGAAGTTAGTAGGCATTTAAGTCTCAAACTGTATTAGATGGGCTGACCACGTTGGCATCCTGGTGAGCAGCAGTTGTACCACTGGATTCTGGAGCTGTTTCAGTGACTGTCAGTGTTGAATCTGTAAAGTAGAAAATGTTTTCTTGTGGTTTTGTTGTTTTTAAAGTGCCTTCATTAAACCAGTCAAATTTGACTACTGCCATATTTGCATCAAGTCATCCAGTCACAAGTCTCCTTTTCAACACCATTTGGTATTAACACTGGATTTTAGCACTGGGTTACACTAATACAGAGTAAAAGTAATTCTAATTACGAATCAGGTCTTGTTAATGCTTTAGAACTGGGCAGAGCTGCTACCAAACAGCACTCTCATCCTCAGAACAAGAGCTTATGAACCTGAAGTAAGGCTTTCATCCTGCTGCAGTCATGTAATAAGCAAAAGCAGCTTAAGATTACATGCAAAGCTTCTTGCCAAACATCTGTGCTGTCACTTATGGAAGGTGAGAAGAGGAATGCAACACCAGCTCAGGTAGAAAGAGAACCAAGATGTGTCTAGAATGGATCAAACCTCTGCAGAATTTAATATTTTGGGAACATGCAGAAGCCCTCATCTAGCAATTAAAGGAGCTGCCTAGTAATAATAATAAAAAAAAGCCACTTAATTCAGGTTATGCAGTAGCATTGTGAAAGAGCTATTGTGAGAGCTGTGAAGCTTGGAGGTTTTAAAAGCAGTTTAGAGGATGTAGCTGCATATGGTTTGTGTTAAATCATTGATCTGTACAATCAAGTATGTGTAGTTAAAACCTCACTGAGATGAAAGGAGCTTTTCCTTTCCTCATTTGCCTGTTTCAGAATCTTAGCCTGAAAGGCTACACTTATAGCTATAGAGCTTTTGAAAACCCTTTTTCCAAGAGATAACTGGGACACAAATATAAACAACTGCTTAGATTCTAGCACATAGCTGTAGAATGTTGATCAAAGCATCCATCTGTCACACAGCTGAGAGCTTGGTTATCTGGTGCTATTTCCTTCAGAATGGATGCTTCAGCATGCACTTAAGACTTCAAGAAGGCAGCAAAGCTAAGCTCCAGCCCTTGTTAGTTCTGAGAAAGCTCTGAACAGAACTATGCAAGCCCCTGAGATGAACCCTTCTCAGCAAGATTTACTAATATTAAGTGGATCTGCTGATAGCAGCCCAAGCGTTCACTTTTCTTATCAGAAACAAACTGTAACGCTGGCAGACAAATGTTGTTCACAAACACTTTGCTCTGCTTACTCACTTGGAGGGAGGAGGGAAAAGAAGGGCAAGAGCAGAATAGCAAAGATCATTAAAAGCAAAGAAGCATCTAGAATAAGTCATAAAAGCAGAAAAATATCTTGAATAAAACATCTATTGAAAAAGAGCACAAAGCTTGGTAAAACTGCAGCAGAAAAACAGTGACAGGTTTAGCTACAGTTTCTACTCCCCCATCTGCCAGCAATTGTCTGCCAAGAGCCTGCTATCAAGTATTTTTTCCCCACCTTTGCATGGTGGTACATCCACAATCATGCAGTCATCGTCATCCTCATCTTCCTCAGTGTCTGCCTGAAAGCCATCCATCTCCATTGCTTCAGCCTTAAGGGGAAGAGGAAGAAAAGAAAAGTTACAAGATATCTGCAAGGTGACAGTGTTAAGGTGCAAGATCTTGCACAGCCAATGCTAACGACTGCAACAGACACATCTCACAATTAGTGCTCAAATCACAGACCAGACAGGCAGGCATAGATGTTTGCAGGGAACAGCAGACACTGACTTCTGGTAAAAGGCCTGGTCTACAATGGCCTTTTCTTGCAGCAGGAAGCATGCCAAGTGCTCGTGCTCACATGTTTCACAACACAATTACACACCTAGAAGTCAGTTCAAGCCTCAATTGGAGCCTGACTCAGTTTAGTCTTTTTTATTATTATATATATTTAAGGAAAATCTTCCCCCTCTTTTCAGTTCTTGTTGCTTTTTGTCTTCAGAAGCTTCAGCTTGTCAAGTTTGAACTTGTTCTCCCCTGACTCATCTTTGTCAATAAACTTCTGTTCAGAGAGGGATGACAGTTCTTTCCTTGGTGACACTATTTGCTGCCCTGAGAGCTGCAAATCCACTCATGTTGAATCAGGAAAGGAAACAAACGCAAGGAGTGATGCAAACTGAAGCTGTTCTGAATTAAATAGCTCCAAGTTCTTTTTCCCCCTTACTTTCTTCAGCTGGAATTGTGAAACTGAAGTCTCAGAAGTCGGTCCCTGCCTATACAAACTGTTCCAAGACAAGAAGTTTTATATTTACAGCTTTCATTAAAGTTGCAGTTGTCAGATACTTTATCCCCTCCTACACATGCTGAGGTATTTCAGTACCAGGTTCTCCCTCTGCAGCTTATGTAAGAGCACCTTTATTATAGAAGAGTCCTGGCACGAGCTTTGTGGCAGGGCCATGTAGGAGAATAATCAGCAGGTCAAGGCTGTCAGGTTCTCTAATTTCTCCACAAGCTCCACAGCCTTGCACAGCTGGAAGGATGGGATCTCAAAACCCAAATGCTGCTGATTTAGATGACAGGCATGAAAGGCTTTCAGGAACCTGACACCTTTGTTCTGAGCTGTGCTACATCACAGCTCATGAGGACAACTAAGATGTTCTCGAAAGCTTAGAAGAATTCAGGCCAATGGTGTAATTCTACTAAAAGAGTTAGTTTCACTATGTCTGCCCAACTACTGGAATATAAGCAGAGCTTTGTAGTTTTTTTTTCCTATTTTTTAATTTCTGCTTTTGTTTGCATGTAAGAAAAAAACAAGCAGACACAGTTTAGGGACTGAACAATTTTTCAGCTTTCTGATCCCTATCAATATTTGTACTTCATTACAGATCTTCAGTACAAAAGCTGAAGAAGTAGAGAGTAAACTTGGAAAGAAAAGCACAAAAAGCCTTGAGCAAAGCTTCCTTCCTCCCCCTTACACACAGGAGAGTAATAAATCCACTGACGAGTGCAAACCACTCCTGTCTATAGGTTTGAAAGCACACAGCTTCAGGACCTAAAGCCTTACTGTCTTATGAACATGGACAGAGCATCACATAGCTAAAGCACTGATCACATGCTTTTCAACCATACTTTTGGATAATTAAGCTCTTAATACTACTTGTTTGCCTCTGCTTTTCAGGGTAACCATAACAGGAAGAGCACAGATTAGAGCTGGAATAGTAACTTCTCCAAGAATCTCCTTTGCTCCTGTGATTTTTATTTTTTTTAAAAACAGCTCTTGAAATTCAACTTTATGATAGTTATGAGCCTGAGACTTTGCAGACTATTAAGAGTTGAGTTGCAGCACTTAGAAACCACATTTAACCAGTATATGTGCATCTGATGCAAGTCACCAGCCCAGGCTATACATCTGGCAGCCATACACACAAATTTGCACACAAATTGCATACAGCTGGAAAACCAAGGACAAGCAGACACACAAAACTATTCACAGCTTGGAAGCAATCACTGCCAAATAGCAGAAAATGGAAGAACAGCAGGAGATTAATGTTTCAAGTGAAACAATCCAAGTTAGAGGAAAAGAAATCCGTCCCTTCAGAGCTGGGAAATTTTATTCCTTCCCCACCAAAAAGATCTTTTTGTATGACAAATAGTTTTGGTAGCTTAATATTGTGACTGCTGATGGCAGATTTAGGTCAGTCTGGGAGGAGTGCCATGATACTTGCCTACTGAAGATACACAGCTACATTCCTGCTGTTCATAAATGGGGGAGAGTGCTGTGAAAGCTCACCTGCTCAGCATCCCTAGGCCTCTTCATGAATTTAGTGATGCACATACTTCCAGTGGACTTCCTCTTTACTGACACAGGGGTGCTCTGCACAGGTGCCACACCTGGCACACCACCACTGTCCTCCTTTCCTGAAGAAGGAACTTGGGTGATGTAGTTCCATTGGCAAGGGACAGGGAGGTGCTCTTGATCAAAACTCTTCAGCACCTCTGAGTGGACGTACCAACACATCCGATATTCAGGTCTCTTCTCATACACAGAGTTCTCAGAAATGATTCTCTTTAGCCTGGCTTTGGAAGGGACACCACTGTCCTCACCAACTGGTGTCTGTGGTCGGGATGTGTTGGGGCTCACAGGGCTCGTGTCTCCACAGTCAGCAGCTGCAGTCACATCACTGAACAGTCCTTGCCGGCAGCACTCCTGGAACTCCTGGATGATCACTTTGCTCCCATTCACGTTGCCATGGAGCAGTGGTAGAAGCTGGCCAAGGACTGCAGAGAAGAGAGGTGTTGCATAAAGGTTGCAGAAAAGAACTATTTAAAGGTCAAGAAAAGCCTGGCTGACATAATATCAGTATATTCACCCCAGGAAAGAAGACAAATAAGATTAATTTTAGCTTCTGTTGCAGCCCTGTGTCTAAGCTTTATATAGACAAGTCAAGCACAATAGGAATGTGAAGTGAGAATTTCAACCTCTATTCTAGTCTTTTTGGGCATTACTCATACCTTTGCATTAATCATGCACAGGATGTACTCAATACTGAAATTACAAACAAAATACATCCTCTCCCTCTGAGCAACACACAGCTAAGTTGGCTCAAGCACTTCCAGTAAATAGTCCTAAATCTGAGCCTTCTGAATGAAGTCTTGTTGGCATTGTTTCCTGGATTACCTGAAGCAAGAGCTTTTAGAGACAGCAATCAAGGCCATACAGATGTGCAATGGCAGAAAACTGAATCCCAGGAGATCTCATAAGGATTACTTGAATTTCAGACAGTAATAAGCAGACCATTCTGATGCTTTAACTCGATTTAAGAAAATCTATTATCTCAAAGCTGGAGTACAACAGTGCACATATACAATTATTTAGCCCTTCACGTCTTACTCTGCTGATCTTTTGCTCTTTTTTTGCTACATTTCTGTATCTGCTGTTCTTCTTCAGCAACAGATGAATCCAGGATGCACGCTGTGAACTGCTGGAGAACCTTCAGGTCTGCATTTGTGCCACTGTCATTTTGTGCACTTTCCCAGATGCAGCCAATTTTCACAGGCTGCAGAACGTGGAGTCTCTTCCCCTTGGCCATCAGTTCATCCCACTCCTTTGCTTTCAGCTTTTGACGAACCTTCTGATTCTCTGGATCACACTCCTAAAAAGCCACAGGTGAAAAAACTTGTTACAACCATTCCAGATGAACAATGTTCTTTAAAAAAAAAAAAGCCACCTTCTTATTGTGTTCCCTGAGTTACACAAGTTCTCTCCTGCACTAAGCAAATACGAGTTACTGCCAGGATTACATGACTTCATGTGTCAATACTGAGTACTCAATACACAGGAAGCAAAGATGGATATCCAGTGACACCTGGTTCACTTACTTCTGTCACTCCTTCATCTTCAGATAGGTACCCATGGGGTACAAAAAACCCATCGTCATCATCTTCATCCTCTCCTTCCTCTTCATCATCCTAAAAATAAACTCAGCTTTTTAGAAATCTGGCACGGCTAGATGCAGTTGTTTTTAAAAGTTGTCTTTCACCACATAGAATCCTTACCCCTTCACTATGGGAAAGGCTTTCGCCAGGTTCCTCCTCTTCCCACTCTTCATCACTATCTACTTCATAGTCCAGTAATTTCTAGAGAAGAAATGCCAATTTTCCACTTCTGTTAGTCTGAAAGCACGATGCCAGAGTCCACCCTAGTGCTTCATAACTCAGTAGCAAGAATGAGCACAGTGGATCAGAAATCCCAAAGAACAGGTAAACCTGAACACCATATATTCACTTTGAGATCATTAAGAAAAAGAATCCAACTACCTTGCCTGTAAGTTACTTACACTGTCCTTTGACCAAGGATTCCTGGGACGGATCACAGTGGTTTTCTTGTTCCATGTGCCCCAGTATGCAGGACGGTGATTTTCACAGAACTGCAGAAGTTTCATTCTACCAAATTTCCCCCTTTCAGGAACAGCATCTGTTTTGCAGTTATCCACCACTACCACATCACTGTTAAAACAAAAGACTATCTTCAGAACCTACAGAACACTCACCTGCTGCTCAGGATAATATCTTCTACAAAATTTCAGTCCAGTCATGGTATCAACACAGAACTTGAGTTTATTTGAAGAAACAATTCAGTTGCAAGAACAGGAGTTTCCTATAAGCTATTGCCCTCTTAACAATACTGTGGGCAGCAGCAGCCCTGCCTTAGTTTCAAGAAGTACAATTGACATCTATCAAAAGATAAACACTATTCAAAGGCAAGTAGTTTCCAGTGTTGAAACAGAGCTGCCTAAAATAAAGACTGCCTGCAAATAAGGATTTAAGAAACATTATAGAATGAAGGAAATCTGTATCGTAGCGTACTCTCCCTCTGAGAAGACTGTCAGACAAGTATCAAAAGAAAAGCTGCACCTTTCTACTACCCATAGTATTAGATTACAGCTTCCTTGAAACCATTCCCCTGTTCATCACAAAATCAAGTGGAGAAAAGCCCCGAGACACAGACTAACCTGTTCACTGTGTCAGTACTGCTATTGACAAAAGTAGGTCCAGTTTTACGTGGCTTACGACACTTGAGATCTCTCAAGAAAGAAACTTCACTATTCTGTGCACGCAGGAGCCGATCCAGCTGTTCTAAGAAGTCTGGATAAAGGGCAATACGACAGAGGGGAGCTAAGACCATGTTCTCTTTAATTTCAAAAGGAGCAAACTTCCCACAAGAGCCAGCAAGAATCTGAAATGGTAAGTGAGGATTGTTAGGGCCTGAATACCTGAGAAAGTACAGTGCCAGCATATGCATAACACACAAACCTAAGAAAAAAAAGTTACTGATATTTGAATGAGGATTTATAATAAGTCTCAGAGACTCCAACAGATCCTCTAAAGGTCTGTACACCCAAGACAGCAGGAGACAAAGATGAGATTTTACTCAAGCAACTACAGACTTCTGTCATTTTTACTCTGGTCACAGACTTTTTTTTAAACCCTTCAATGTTTTAAAAATGAGGAATTAAGTACTGATGCCTTGTACACCTAAGGAGCTCTGAGGGATAGGTGAGAAGGAAACCAGTGTGTTTGTAAGGAGATGACTAATGAAAACCCAACAAAATGCAGGCATAGCAATAGCTCACCTTTGGGGCTTGCGGAGTCTTTGGTTTCTGGAAGAATCTTGTAATTTCTGCTTTCTGAGCATTAATACGCTAAGGTCAGAATGAAAATGCAAATTGTAATTAAAGGTATGACAAGGCCTCATCATTTAAAGTGAACTCAAGCATGACCCAACTTCAAAACTAATGACGCATAAAACAAAGTTCAGTTGTTTATCAGCTCCTGTGATGCAATAAAAAAAAAAGTAATTGTCTTCTCTAACACACCTACACAGATTCCAATGTAATTACTAAGACAACAAATGCAGAAGGAATTTAACAGATAGAACAGAGACAGCAGCATCTAAACAAGACAAGAAAACTGCAAGATCTAACTGGTGGAATGGCACTACCTGATCCCATTGGACTGACACTGTTTCAAAGGGACATGCTCATTCCCCAGCAGCAGATGCTGCAGGGGCAGCAAGGCAGTGTACCATTGTACACTGAGAGAACTTCAGGGAGGGTTAAGCAGCAGCTCCACAGCTAATAGCTCAGCAGCACTCAGCAGGGTGCCAGGGAGCCCATTCACAGCATTTCACAAGAACAGAAGAGCTTAGAGAAAGCATTTACCTTTTCCTCCTCTTTTAACCGTTTCTCCTCTTCTTTCTTTCTCTTCTCCTCAAGTTTTGCCCTTAAATATAAAAGTTCATTTCACTGGTCACAAATCAAAGTATTTGCTTGGACTGTGGCAGGTGAGAAGGCTTAATTAAAACCACACTATGCACTAAGATTATTTGTTAAACAAGCATGGCACTTGACTAAGTAAGTGCATAGAAGACTCTCTTCATTCCTTCTAAACCAAATATTGAACAAAGTATATAGGCTGTTTCAAATTTTCCTCAGTACCAAGAAAAGGTATTTGATGAGTTATCACAATACAACTGACTTCCTCAACAGAGGACAGCAGTACCAGCAAATGCAAAGCTAATAGCAAGACTGGTCAGGAAGGGAAAACTCAGTGGTTCACGACAGCTCTTTTCAGTCATTTCAGATCAGAAACCCAGGTCAGCCACCAGGCAAAAAACAGTGCTGAGATTAAGATCTGACAGTCTTTCAACCACTTTGAATATATTCAGTGACAAACAGGCACATGCTGTCCTGCCCTCTAAAATAGACAGAAACAGTGGGTCTGCAAAGGTTATCACATCATCACACTTCATTCCTCATGACCTTTAGAAGCCAAGCCACTTACTCCAAGGCTTCCTGTCTCTCCTTGCGTTTCTCCTCCTTCACTCTCAACTTCTCAGCTTTTTCCTTTTCTTCTTTTTCTTTCTTTTCCCTTCTTTCCTTCTCTTTCAGTTCTTTCTCTTCCTCTTTCTTCTTCTTCGCCTCTTCCTTGGCTCGCTCCTTTGCAGCTTTTGCCTCTTCTTTCAGCCTTCCTTTTTCCTCCCTTTCTGCTTGTAACTTCTGCAGCTTGTCAGCACGCTCCTGATCCTAGTTCAAGAAAACCCATTAAGAAAGTGTCTTTGTGCACAGAAGCAGCTGCTGGCATACACACTTGAGTAAAATAAGGACATAACTTCTCCAACTGAGATTCTTGACCCATCCACAAAGACCTGCAAGGTTGCAGCTCCTATAGCTGCAGTTAGGAACTGCATCCTGTATGCAGCCTCAGCTAGCTAAACTGCCTTGTGTGGCATTTTATTAGTTAATTTCTTTTCAGATAATCAGACAAGGCAAGGCAGCCTGTGCTTATTTAAAGGGTAACATGAGAATAATGAGGGAAGGTGACAAGAGTGAAAGCGTTGTTTTTCATATTATTTCATCTCAGAGCAACTAAAATTCTCATTATGGGTCTACTGACATAAATGAGAACACGGTGTGCTTACTAATTAAAACAACAAGTTTAAGGAAAATAATTTCCCTACACTGTAGACATTGGTAACTCCACAAGAAAACTAGGATATGTCTGAACTCAGATATATAAACATCCTTCTGGTACATTTCCAATTTCTTTTTGTTTATTTCACATCTAAGTCTTCTTGGCAGGATGAAAAATTACTGAACAGCACCACAGTGTACAAATAATGCTAAAACTGTGCCAATGGTAAAAAGCAACACTGTCAGAACTGAGTCATGGAACTCAGTAAAGATCTACTGGGTAGCTTTAGGAAGAGGTATGAAGCAAACAGCAGGGGTGGTGGGTTGATTTAGCTTTCAACACAAAGCTTCCATATTCTTATCTCTCTCAAATGTAACTATTTACATAAATAAACATTGTAAGTGAATTATAGAAAAAAAACAGTCTGGAACTTTACATGGGGCACTGTGAAAAGCAAGCATCTCGGGGAGTACACTCAGTCACTTATAGCTTATATAAAAAAATGCAACCAACTCATTTATAAATTAGTTACTACAAAACACAGCAAGGATTCACAAGCACAGCCCTTCCCAACTGCTGTTAAAATAACAGCCAGCTTTTCAGCATGCAGAGCCCACTCATCAACAGTGAGTGCTTGAGAACTCCATGTGATCCATCAGCCTCCTCTGTATTTAGCACTGCATGACTGAAAACAGGATGGACAGCAAAATTACACCGCTGTTTTGTTTGGATGCTCTGACCAGCAGCATTGGAGTGGATACTGTAGCCATAAGCATTTCCAACAGTGATGTCCAATGATTCAATGTCCAAATTCCATGAAACTATTGGTCCTCTTGCCTCACTTGCTGAAGAACAGATGCTACTTATGGTGTTTTAAAGGGAGAAGGGTGAGAACAGTAAGGCAGGAACCCTAAACAGAAGCCTCTCGATGATCTCACTTGTGACTATCTACTCTGTAGGCTTCCACTCTATAAGGAAAGGTTTGAAAACACTCCCAAAAGCACTTTGATGAGCAGTCAGCAACATTTACAGTCTCTTAATATCTTACTGAAGTGCACAGAAATGCAGTGCAGGCCACCCACACTTCATTAGGTATGCATTAAGGAGATTTTGGAACAAACTGAGTGCTTTAACCACATGCATTAAGACTCTTCCATATTCATCAGTGAGGAAAGCCAGGGAAAGAGATGCTATAAGTAAACTGAGATGAAATGCACAGGGCTTTGCTTACTATTCAATGCAAAAGCACAGCAGGTTAACTTTCTATGTCAGTGAAAAAGCCTTACTCTTTGCAATCTCAGCTTCTCCTTCTCTGCAGAACTTTTGTGGAGTTTCTGAGATACCTGAAATCACACAAAAGGAAGTTTTATAGATTTGTATCATTCCTTTTTCACGAGACACTAAAACTACTAAAAAGAACAGCAAGCTCCCTTTAAATTACATTAACTTTTTCTTCAGATTAGTATATTCAGCAACATAAGCATACCTTCAGCACTAGATATGCTTGAACTCTATTCCTAGGTCCGATCTCAAATATTTATACATAAGCCTGAATACATCTAATTATTTCAGTTTACATTAAGTCCTCCTATTACTAGACTTTGCATAAACAAACCCTTCTAGTTACTCAGTCCTAAAATATCATTTGCAATGTAACACCACGAGTACAAAAACAAACAGGAGGTACAGCTGCTACAAATCACAAGAGCACAACAGAGAGCATAACATTAACTCAAAGGAAGCAACTCTGCCATATAAACTTTTTTTTTTAATGCTACCACTTTTTTTTATGCCAGATTATTTAGCTACAGCTTCCCAAGTACAAGGGCTATCATCAGTATTTCCATGCTGTTCCTACTGATGATCATAGCCCTCTTGTTCTTCCTTTATTATCAGTACATCAGCCCTATAGGTCACACCCTCCATTCAGTTAAAGCCATTATTCCCAAGGAAGAAAGGAGGTACAAAGGTACTCTGTATCTAAAGAGTAGCACTCATAGACTGCTCAGAAGCTAATGTGTCAATATTTCAGCACACTTTGGCTTGGTTTCTTGTACCCAATTCTTCCTCCTGCCATTCTCAGGCAAAGGCAGAGCATTTATCTCTGTGATTAAAGCATTTGGTCTGCTTTATTTTCTATACTCAGACACAGAAGTTCAGAGTGTAAAGATGCATCAGGTGATTCTGTACTCACATGATGCAAAATAAGAACACTTTAAACTCGGAGCTTTACTTCATTGAAGTGTTTCTGCTTTAGAAAGCAGACATTCTAGCACAGACAATGGTGCAGATCAACAGACATCCCACTCTAGCAAATAGAATGAACGATGTCTGGTATGAGCAAGGTTGACAAAACCAATAACTTGTTGACTTTGGAAGCAATATATTCTTCACGTCAAGTGCTCTCTTCTGTTCTGTTGTACTAGAAATATTTCATGCCTACTTGAGTCTGTGTGTGTATTGTAAAGTGATATCACAAGTTTTAACAGCCAGAAGTTTTAACAGAAGTCAGAACCAGGTAGCTACTCCCAAGAAAATTCAAACAGAAGAAAAATGGCAGACCACAATGAGAACTTCAACTCCAGCTCATGCAGCACAGCATCTGCACACCTGTGAAAACCTTCCTCCTTTTCTCCTCCAATAATGCAGTTAAATGCAAGCAAACACAGCAGTCAAAGAGCTCAGTTGAACTTTGGACAAGACTTGGCTACAGCATCCAACATGATCCCCAGGACTTCTCTGCTGTACAGGTTTCACCACTGAGTGTTGTGCTTCCAACCAGAGCATCCTCTCTTTATACCTCCACTGATCTGTTCCTCAGGGAGACCAAGCACTTTCCAACCACTCAAGTCACAACCATTTCAGCCACTTGCACAGTTACTGTTGGTTTTAAAAGCCTCCCCTTCAGCACAGCACCAGAAATCACAAATCACAGGGATCTCTTGTTAAAGGACAGGCAGTGCCCAGAAGCTAAACCAGATCCCATTCCCAGCACACACAGGGCTGGGAATCCCAAATATCCCATCCCCTCCAGCCCTAAGCAGCATCTCACGGTCACAGGAACACACAGTGAATTATCCCCTAAGTACCCTCATGCTGGACAGGGCACACAAGATGGCTGACAGCACAAGCCTTACACACTTCATTCCTTTTGAGACTCATTTGGCTTGTCCTCTGTCTTCAGAGGGAAAACTGCACTTCTGCTAATGTCCTATATTTTCACCGAAAGGGTTTTTAACAGCCCAGATTCAAGATCTCAGAGCTGGTGCTGGAAGTAAGACAGCTCACAAAAAAACCTACAGCAGCAACAGAGAGAACAGAATGGAGGTTATAAAACACTATCTGCTGAACAGAACTCTTTTTGAGCTCTGTCCTTATCCCAGTTACTAAGGTGTACACCCCCAAGGCATACACTTCACAATCACTATAATAAAAGAACCTGTAATAGGAACTTAAAGCTGCACTCATACTATTCAAACGTAGCAACTCAAAACTAAGACTTAAATAGTCTAGCTATACAATTTAAAGGAGGATTCAAGAGGGTAATCATTCAGTTACATTATTAATAGATGGACAACACCTTCCATATGGTCCCACAATCTTCGTGAATAACTTATTTATCCTTTTCACAACAAACAATCCATCTACAACGTAATAACTCTTAAACAACCAAGAAAAGAGACCAACCTTCCTAACAGGCGTTGAGACAGCTAAAGGACTAGTATTTCTCTTGGTTTCTGCAACAGGCTGTGCTTCAGGGGAGCTCACAGAGAGGGAGCTTAATGAGGAATTAGTAAGTACAGAGTCTCCTTCATGGGACAATTCTATGGTCTCATTTTCTGATGTGACACTTCCATCCAGAGAAGTGACCTGGGGAGATTTAGCAGCCATAATATCTTCAAGAAGCACTACAGGCATCTTCCCCTCAAATATGACGTCCTTCAGTTCACCCTGATTAACCTTCGTGTTTTCCAAGTTGTTACACTCTGTCAACCCAGAACAAGACTGGATTCCATCTACCAAATCTTCACCCTTATTTGCAACAGCTTCACACCGCACGTCAGTCTCCATCGAATCATCAGTTTGGCTGTTCTGGGTGGAATTCAGGCAACTCAGCTTGTTCGTATCTTTCCCTAGCACACCATTAGTCAGAGCTGCAGAAGATGCTTTTGAATCAAAATTAACACGGTCTACATCATCACCGAGCCTTTGATTAGATTCATCTACCGAGTCAATAACGATGATGATTTCATCTCTGTTATCTTTTGTGCTCTTTTGTATAAAGTGGTCTAATGGACCCTTCCCATTAACAAGTTTTGGAACAAAAGTCACATCTGAATTCAGCTGGCAGTCATTCTCCATATTGTCCGTGGATGCACACGACGTGGCTGTGGAGGAATCCTTACTTTGGCCCAAACCACTCTTAGAACTCTTTCCTTTCTTGCTTTCTGCTTCTGCATCATATTTCTCCTTTGGTACAGGATTCAGGCGCTTGAAAGGCAACCGAGCTGCAAACAAACAATATTTGGCTATTTCAGTCACAGCAAACAAATCAGCAGGGTAGAGGAAATAAAACTTAACGCATTCATTTTGCTGTTAAACAGGAGAATTAAACCAGATTACAGCTGCAGGCAGCTCATTGCTGCAAATACTCCCGGGCCTGGTGGTTTTAGAAGGCATTAGGGCTTTACAAGAGGTGACAGAGGCTCTCCCACAGCCTTACCTTGCACGAGTCTCCGCGGGGGAACGACCGCTTTGTCTCTGCACTCCATGGCTACAAAAGGGAAACAAAAAAGAGCCCCGTGAATGGCCGGGCCACGCTGCAGCCCCGCCACCGGCCCCGAGCAGCACCCAACAGGCACAGCCGGGCTCAGACTGACCTCCAGAGCTGAGGGAAACCCAACGCCTGAGGAAACGGCGCCGCTCGGGGCCTACACCGAAACGGCACCTCCGCTCTCGGGCCTCCTTTGTTACCTCAGGAAGGCCTCGCGCCCCCGGAAGCCCGGAAGCCTCGCGATGCCTCCAGGCCTTCCCCTACCTGCCATGGCGAGGCGCCACGGCTCCAGCGGCAGCCGACCCGAGCGGACCCGGCCCGCTCCAACCCGCTCCGTCCGGTTCCGGCCCTGCGCCTCCCGCTCGTATTTGGCGGGAGCCGGGACGACCCCGCGCCTGTCCGCGCTGATTGGGGGAGAGCGCCCACGTGACTCGCTCTTCCGCCCGCCCTGCCTCCGCCCGCGTCTCGCGAGGAGCCTCTGCGGGAGGCTCGACGCCGGCCCCGCCTCTACATCCGCATTGGTCAGAGCGAGGAGGAGAGTTGATTGGCGACCGCGATTGTCACTCTCGCTCGCTGGAAGCGCTGATTGGATAAAGATGAGGAGGCAGGAGGAGCGCAGAAGGTCCCTCACCCCTGGGCCTGAGGCCGTGTTGCTGTCGGGCAGGAGTGAGGGCGGCGCGGCTCTGTGGGGATCACGGCAATCCTTCTGCAGTGGTGGGCAGAGGGGCGGGGCCGCCAGTACATTAGGTCATTGAATGGACCGAGACAGTGCGCGAAATGGCGGCCGTGTGGCCAACGAGAGGCCCGGTCAGTAGGTGGCTTTGGCGCGAAGGCTGCTGGGAGTTGTAGTCCGCCTGCGGCGCGTGGGATTCTGGGAGCGGGAGCGTCATTCCAGCAGCTGCAGTGCCGCCTCCTCTTTTCCTTAAAATCCCCCCTTTTAGTTCAAAAACCATCCCCTCTCGTCCTGTCACTACCTACCCGCGTACCAAGCCGCTCCCCCTCTTTACGAGCCGCCTCCAGCTACAGGAAGGAGCTTTCCTCAGAGCCCCCCCCTCCTCCAGGCCGAACGCCCCTCCGCCTCTCCCCCCGTAACAGCGGTGCTGCGGTGGCGCTCCGCCAGGCCGCCAGGGGGCGCCGTGCTCCCGCTTTGGGGCGGGGCGGGCCGCTCGCTTCCTGGCGGCGGCGACTCGGCGGAAACGGCGGCGTTGGCGGCGGCGGAGCGGGTCTGCGGGTGGGCTCCGTGTTTGCCGAGCGTCACCTCGGCGTCCCGCCGCCCTGCTGCGTGTCCTCGGTCGGCACAGGAGGCAGCATGTCGGTGGCGGGGCTGAAGAAGCAGTTCTACAAGGCGAGCCAGGTGAGGCACCGCGATCCGCGCCTTCCCTTAGCCGCTGTTATCCGTCGGTGCTCCCGGCGGTTCGTTCCTATCCTCCCTACCGGCCTCTTTGCTCTCCAGCTGGCGGCGGTTCCGCTGTTCCCATCCGGTAGCCCCGTGCCAACGAGTCGAGCTCCCGTTGTGCCCCGGTGTTCCGCTCTGGGACACCCCAGCTCTCCCCCTCCCCCCGGTCTGTGCTGTTTTCCCATCCCGTTACCGGCGCCCATCCCTTGGCCGGAGCCTCTTCCCTTCACACAGACCCGCTGTGGGCTCCATTGCCATCCCTGCTATGGGAATCCCTGGACCGATCCCCCACTGTTGTGGCAGTGGGTCGCAGCACCTCTGGTTCAACCCCAGCGTTGCCATCAGGTGCCCTCACTGCTGTGTTGGGTGGAGATGAGGCACTGCTGGAGCTCTGTGTGCCGTCGGTGTTGTGGTGACATGAGCACAGCCCTGCATCCAGGCCAGCACGGTGACACGGTCACCAAAAGGAACTTGGCTCCAGCACGGCGATGCAGAGATCTGTGCGGCTTCACTGGGAGCTGCGTGGCAAAGAGCTTCCATCCCTGTGCTTTGTGGCAATTCCTGGACGGAGTGAGAATCACAGAATGGCTGGGGTTGGAAGGGGCCTCAGGAATCATGGAGCTCCAACCCCCTGCTGCAGGCAGGGCCACCAACCTCCACATTTCATACCAGCCCAGGCTGCCCAGGGCCCCATCCAACCTGGCCTTGAACACCTCCAGGGATGGACGGGGCATCCACAGCCTCTCTGGGTAGCTGTTCCAGCACCTCACCACTCTCACAGTAAAGAAATTTAAGGATAATAATAATAAAGGGATTTTAGGAGCGATGTGTTAAAGGGGAAAGGGAGAGCGGTTGCATGAAATGGAAGCCTGCGGGGTGATGTTCCCTATGGATCACTTTCCTGTGTCCTTGGGAAATTCCCACTGCTACGATAGCACTGGGACTGGGGAAGGGTTTTGTGCTCAGCAAGGCAGAAGCACAACTCCCCATCTGTGTGTGTCAGGGCTTTGCTGTTTGGGAAGACTGTCAGAAGAGCAATTTTTAGCAAACGAAGCCTTTTTGTACCTCCTGCAATTACAGTACAGTGTTGTCCCTGAAGTTAGCTCTTGGGATTGTTTTTTAATGCATTTTTGGGACAGAAATCTGGATTTAGTAGCGTGTCCTTAGGAGAACAGTTCTGGGTCCCCCAATCACTGCTTTTGTGTCCCTGTTTTCAATTGAAGGCAGATTAATTTCCCACAGATCCACCAATGGGCTCTGCATCCCATGCTCATAGTTTAAACCCTTCTAAGCTCAGTCTGCGTACGCTTGCTACGTGTATGGGTTCCTTTCTTGGCCATGTTTATGAAAAAGCATTTTGCTTAAACAGCAAAGTAATGCATTCCTGAAGTCATTCCCCACCCCCTTTCTTACAACAGGAAAACAAATCTCTGCATCATTATTTTTATTTTTATTTTTATGACTTCCATGGGGGAAGGTTGTGCTGAAAAAGAAATTGTAGGAAGGCTTTACTAGCACAGATGTGCAGTGTTGTTGTAGCAGGGCAATTAGAGGTGAAAGCACATCGATGAGTCAGAAGTAACGTGTTTCCAAAGCCTGGAAACATCTTTCTAAAACATCTGATGAAACTTTTCTGGGGGGAATTACTGTAAACTGAAGTGAATTCATATGTGGTCTTTGGTGGGCGTTTTTCCTACGGATGCCATGTTTTATTTTTTAAAGGAACCAATCTGATTACTCATGGAAAAGTTAAACCCTGTGAGCTCTCTGGTGAGCAGCAGCCCAGTGCCCAAACTTGGAAGCCCATTTATCTGCATGCATGCTTGCATGTACTTGTTTTGAGCACTTAGCTTGCATTGCAGTGGGAGAAAAGGTCTGTGTGTGGCTGCATCTTGGGTTCTCTTGCAGCTCCTGGTGCTGCAGGGTTTCGGAAGGTAATTAAATCTGAAGAAGCCTTTCTGCTGGTATTTGCAGTATGGCTGCAGAGTTGTTTTGCAGGATCTGGAGAAGCACAGTCACAGGATGGACCCCACTACTGCTTTCATGGTTCCAGTGGCTGGAACAGAAGAAATCAGCCACACTGCAGAGGTTCTGTGTCTGGAAACGAGAGTGTCTGGTTCTAGCTCTGCCCCTTTTCTGTGTTCTCCTCTCCTTTTCATTTTCACCCTTCTTCCCTTTCCCTCCCCTGGTCCCACTTTTCAGCCACTCCTTGGCTGAAGCAGGAGGAGGATTAGCTATTTTTTGGCTCTCTTAAAGGTATTAGATGCTGCCAAAGCCAAACATGTGGAAGATCTTTCCTAAAATGTTGTGTTTCGTTCCACGTCTGTTATTAATTGAAGAAGAGCACAGCCAGGACCGAGGCATGCTGGGCCCTTCAGTCCTGGGTATGGGGATAAAGCTGGGCATCAGCTTCTGCCTCTCACCAATATGCAACAGGGAGCCTACAGTACCCTGCAAAAAGCCATGCTTCCAATGCTGCAGGACGTGAGCCTGTGCATCCAGAACAGGTTTTGCTAGTTCACAGCAAAATGTTCCTCTGGAGAGAGGGAAAAAAAAAAAAAAAAAGACAGTACAAAAATAAAACCAACCTTTAGAAAGTGTTCTCCTGAGGGGGAGAAGCAACCAAATGCACAGCTTGGAGCTCCAGCAGCACGAGCTGGGTGCTGCATAGGAGGTTCTCATCACTGTGGTCCATTGCTGGCCTCTCAGGTATGCAGGAAGATGCAGAAACCTTCTGGTGCAGAGATGGCTTCACATGCACTGTTTTCTTTTTCTACAAACCAATTTAAGTCCTAAAGTGGAAGGTTTAATATCTACAAGGCTTTCTGTTCACCACAGTAATTTGATACACTTTGTGCATAAGCAGGGCAAAGGAATGTGTCTGTGCTGCTCCTTGGTGAACCCAATGCCAAGATGAGTGTATGTGCAGGTTCCTTGCTGCTGTCACACAGAACAGCAGTGTCAGGTGGGTTATCTGCCACTGAAGGGACAAGCCCTAGGGTGGAGGCACTTCTGCTGTGATGTGGCACTGGTGAAAGTGTCCCCTCCCTCTGCCAGATAGCCCTGTCCCCACTGAGGCTTGCCAACTGCTGGCATTCCATGTGTAACAAGGCTTTTGCAGAGACATGAAACGTGTTCTTGAGTTCCCATCGATCAGCAGTTGCCCTGATGGCTCAGCATGGAGTTGGATTCAACCCAGGTGGGAGAGTGGCATTGCTTTTTTGCCCCACACTGTTGCTCAGCCCTCAATGCCATTGTCACGTGGCACAGGATGAGTGTGCTCTGCATGGACCAAACCCAAACCTTGCTCGTCCTGCTCAGGCTCAGTAACCAGAGCAGCATACAAGTTCTTGTGCTTGCTGTGCCTGAGGAGCTGCTTGCCAGCCACCCTTCTGCTTGCAATCTGTCATGGCTGCACTCGGTGACCATGCCAAAAACCTCGGTGTGTAGGGCAGCACGGCAGCCTCAGAGCTGTAGGATAACATCCTCTTCCCTTCCCAGGGTGTGCAGAATGAGAACATAGAGTCCTGACCCAAGACAAAGACCAGCAGCCACCCCCTCTGTGTGCAGAAGACAAAAGCTGTTTTCTGAGAGGGGAGTGCTAATTAAAACTACCAAGCCCTTAACATACACACTTTTTCCTGAGTTTGATGATTGCTCTCGAGGCTCTTGAAGATATTTTTGAAAACATGAGTGCCTGATCTGAGGGCCTGGGTTGTGCTCTTTGGCCCGTGACAGTCATTTCTCTCCAGGAACAAGTGGATCCTACGCCCTGTACGTCTGCACTGTGTGCCCTCACTGTCCTGAGCAATGGCTGAAGAACCACCAGTGCCTGGTGCTGAGGTGCACTGGTGTCTGCTTAAAAGCCTGAGACGTAAGCCTGGCCCAGACACACTGCACAGGGTCTACATGGGGACCAGGAGAAGGATGGCATTGCTCTTTTTTTCTCTTTCTTCCTCTTGTCTGGTCCGGAGAGAGATTTCCTTTATGAAGTTCTTTCTGTTGTGGCTTTGTGCTGTAATTTTGGATGTTCTTCTTCCCTCTCCTGTTTCCCA